TTGATTTTGTTAGTGTTGTCTTCGTTCACAATTTAAATGTCAAAGTAAAATGTTGAGTAGGGGTAATATCTGGAAGCTTCCTGAACCGAGGATATATAAGTCCGGCTTTCAGCCACGGGAGACACTCTGCTATCTCGTGTCTTCCAGTCTTAAATAGTGTTTTGATTGCTGTGTGATTTGATTTTCGTAATATATTATCTGTTCAAAAGTACCCACACTAAAGTGGTGAGTATGGTCTTAATTCTACTTAAACCTATTTGTTTCTGGAACCTGATTAATTATATGAGTGCTAATCCATTCGTAGGGTCCCAGATTTCGGGGTCAAGACGGTCAGTCTCAGACGGCGTGCTTGCTCGTTTGTGGCCTTCTGGTTCAGAATCAAGTTTCTCGGTACCCTCTGGCAAAGCTGGTGATTGCGCGGCTCACGACGCAAGCGGACAGCCGTACCCAAGGGTTACGTACTCACTTGAAAACTTATAAATGCAATTTGTTTAACTTTCATCAATATCTAATATAAATAGCCGACTCGGGCGGAAGGTGAAGGGACCTCCCAGAGTGAAGACGAGAAGGCGCCGAGCACCATCAGCTCGGCTCTAACGCGCTCCGCTGCGGTTTTTTTTTGTTTTTTTTTTGTACCCACACTGATTAATTTATTTAATTTCTTATTGTAAATGTAATCAAGTTTTTTTTGAAATATACATGTATGTATGACTGAGGTGTAAGTTGTTTTCCTCTAAAGAGTCCCATAGGTTTCCCACACGCACACACTTCTATTCTCATACAAGGCGCCCTGAGGTAATCTCTTGAATCTCTCCACTGGGTCAGCCGGTGAGTAGTCCGCCTGAGAAGATAAGCGGCTACAAAAGTACTTCCGATTACCACGAGGAGATGGATACAGACACTTTTACGAATTGATTCGAAAATCAATTATTACCCAGCCTGTCAGAGCCTTCTATCATAATAATGGACAACGCTTCATATCACTCGAAACAAGTGAATAAAGCGCCTGCTCAGGCCGACAAGAAAGCTGATCTCGTAGCATGGCTACACCAAAATGGAATTGAAACTACTGCCGAAATGCTAAAGTCTGACTTAGTAAAGTTGGTATGCTAAAATAAAACATCAAGAGTCCGTTATGAAGTAGATGAGATAGCTCTGGCGCATGGACATCGGGTACTTCGAATTCCGCCTTATCACTGCCAGTACAATGCCATTGAGCTAATATGGGCACAAATCAAAGGTATTGTTTTTTATCGCATAAGTTATGAATATGAATAATTTGTACTATTATAACATCCAATATTCAGCATATAAGTAAAAAGATACATAACTAAGAAATAAATATCTCATGTCCCTTACATGTAGGTAATTGTGTAACATTTCGTTTATTTAATGTAATAAATTAACGTTATTTAATGTTTACATTACAGGTTGCGCAGCTCGTAATAATACGACTCCGCCATTCAGTACTAATAAAATGATGGGTCTATTAAAAGATGCTTGCAGCAAAATAACGAAAGAAGATTGGGTCAAGGTCGTCGAAAAGACTCGAAAACTAATAACAGAAGATTATGAACGCGATATAAGAGTGGACACCATTATAGACAATGAAATTGTCATACAAGTGACTGATAGCGATGACAGCTCTGGCGAATCTGGTTCAGAGTCTGAATAATTGTTTTAATAAATAATAGGTAGTCATTTATTAAAACATCTTGTACCTACTCTATTCATTAAAATGTGTAACAGTGTTTACAAATTTGTTTTATTTTGATATGTCCTCGACTAATTATCTACGCCCATCAAGGATACTCCACCTAATAAAGAACCTGTGTCTTTAACTATTATTTGTTTTGATTTTATTTAATTACACACTATACTAGAATATTTAAAAACAAACTGTTCCCAAATGATATTAGGGTTACTGGTTCAGTCACTTCACTTGTATTGTCAATTCGTCATGTGTCAAATCGGTAATAACTCAGCGGCCGTACTATAAAGTGAATTTTTTTATGCTATAATAGGTTTCAAAATATATATGTTATTTTTTAAAATTGTCTTTAGGCTGTTGAGAATGTCGTATGTTTTATGGGCGTACGAGCGTATGCTAATAATAATATTTTATTGTCTCAAAAATTATACAGTTCACAAGGGTACTTATAATTTGACACAACTAAATATATTGTGCTGTAGGGTCGCGCAATTATTGTTGATATCGCCGTTCCTCATGACGAGAATCTCGTGAAAGTTGAAAAAGAAAAACAAATAAAATATATGGATTTATCTTACGAGATTGTCGACATGTTAAATGTGGATTCTGCGATCATTGTTGCGATAGTTGTATCTGCTCACGGATTGTTAGCCAAGAGCTTCGACCAACACCTAAAAAGGCTCACGTTAGACGGCTGGCAGTTCTCCTTGACATGACCCTTTTAGTGAGGAGGTTCCTGTCTTTGGAATTCTAACCACCGGTGTCTTGGTCTCTGTACCCGATGTTGGTGGTCTACTATTTTTATAGTTTTAAATGTATTTTTATTCTTTAGTAATATATTCAAAAATATAATCAAAATGTATATATTATGTAATAAAGATGATAATATTTTTTATTGTCGCTAAATTTATACAGCTCACAAGGGTACTTATAATTAGACACAAATAAATATATTGTGCCTTAGGTACTGATAAAGGTTCTAATTCTGTTGTTCAGAACAGAATTCGAACAGAATTAGCACTTGTCTCTCAAACTAAGCGAATGCTTGTATTTTGGGTAGCAATTTTCAGTCTATTACTAATTAAAAATTTTGAAGTGATTAAAAGTGAACGTGGTCGCTGTATGCAAGGGGTAGATAAATGATGTTACATAAGTAGACCATATGTTAATGAGTGGGTATGTGTACAGGTGAGTGTGCTCTAGAACTATTATCACAGATTCATTGAGAACCATTAGAACAAGAGCCCGTAAACCCTACACTTTCGTTATTTTATAAAAGCTGAAAGTTTTCAGTGCATACTCTGACAGGTAAGAACGATGGACAATCATAAAGTTTGGGCTATATAAAAGAGTGTAAATTACCAACTTAAACTTTATACATCAAATAATAAAATGCGATTTTTTTATTTTTCCTTCGGAATATTATTAACAATCACATCATTCATTGCCAGACTCTTAATATCGTGGCAACCCCTGTGCTAGACACTTAAAGTTCGTTAAATTGTATACTTACGTTATAGTATAAAAGTCGATTTTTATATCTAATACTTTTTAATAACTGGAAGCAGCCAGACATTTTTGGTAATTCCAACCCCTTACCTGATAAGCATGTAGGGTAGCAGTAGGTGCGAGCGCTAGGCGATATACATACGCGTGGGTGCGAATGAGATAGTGAGTTAGAATAGATCAAATTATTTTATTATATAGCTATTTATGTCTAGTAAATTAATGTTTAAGGTTGTGTTCTTAATATTTTTACTAGGTACTAGCTGGTACCCGCGACTTCGTTCACGTACAATTTGGAAAGGGCTGCCTTAGTGGTGCAGTCCATGAGGCCCCGAATTCCACTTCCGGCCCGGGCAAAATTTTATACGGTTTTTCTGAGGGAAAAACAGCCGAAGTTACTCCTTACATAGACAGCCTGGTAGGAAAATATTATCAAAATCGGTTCAGCCCTTTTGAAGATTACCCGGAACAAACAGACAGACAATAATATTTAAACTGGTTTTTAGACACGTATCGTGCATATAACTGTGTAAGCATGCAAGAAAAATCAATTATTTGGACATTACAAACATACACTTCAATTTTATTAATTTCTATAGATTACAAATGAATTTATTAAAATTCAATTAATAAAGATACAATATTTGAGCTGTCTTTACCTAATAAAGTCACCTAACCTACTCGTAATAGTTGAATCTGCAGCCTATAGGTAGGTACATCTATCTATACATGTAATAAAGGAGTAAAATGTCTTTACATTGAACTTTTTATATATATTTTAGCTCAGAATCCATAGAACAATAAAAAAACCAAAAGAATTTTCTGGAATTTTTGTCTGTCTGTCTGTCTGTATGTACTGTACGCAAAACTACCGAACGGATCTAAATGTTACTTGGCAGTGTTATGGCAAATTTAGAGATAACATCTGCAATAGTTTTTATTCCCGAAAAACTAAGCTACCTTTTTTTTCTGTGCGGAAATCCCCTCGGATACCACACACCGGTGGCTATGTCGGACTAGAACCGACTAAAAACCGCACGCCGTTTCGGGTATCAGTAGCCGGGGAACCAGGTGTCCCCTAGAAAGAAAGTTACCCCGACGCACCTCAAGCCATCTACGGCGAGTAGATAAATATCTCCTGTGTGGAAACCCCCATGCTCCCGAAAGGATGTCATAAAAGCCACAGAGGCATGTTAAGTAAAAATAAAGAACAATTTCTTTTTTATGTTAGAGGGGGCAGACGAGCAGACGGGTCACCTGATGGAAAGTGACTATCGCCGCCCATGAACGTCTGCAACTCGATGCGACTCATTTTAAAAGGACATAACAGACTTCTAGTTGTAACGCAATATTCTTAAATTATAAATTATAACTATAGTAATCATATTTACTAATAACGAGATATATGTTGTCTTACCGAGTCGAATAATTCTTCCAATTTAGGTTAAGGATCTGTCGATACTATTACTCTTAGAGTAGTTTGTAAAAACAGCAAGATTCTAAAGATTATATGACCGGAATATTAACTGAGTTCATAATTATATCAATGGTTCTTGTATGCTGCCGAAAATTATAGTCCAGTGATTATATTCTTAAAGACACGTACGAATATTGTTTAAAGTATAATTAATATAATAATAAACCAAAAACCTTCATTTGGAATTTGATATATATTATTTGTGGTAGATAAATAAAAACGCTTGAAGCCTTTTAATTGTTCTTTGTATTAATTTTAAATCCGATTGCTACATAGTTTTACAGTTTAAATGTAATAATAAAAGCTTTATTCCTTCTTTCCTCGTAATGGATGGCGCTTTCTGCAAAAAGCGAAATTAAATATGTTATGTAAATGTTATATTTAGATAAAAACAAACTGTTATATCCTCAGAGCACAATAAAAACGAAGCAATGAGACACACACGGCAGTGGGATGCCAAATTATGGTGCTATGGTAACGGACCTACCTAACCAGACTGCTGATAAATATACTTATATATTTTTAAATATATACATATTATAGATAATTTACACCCAGACGAAATTAAACAGTAAAATTGAAAAACTAGATAAGTTTGTTTAGGTTCATATTTTATAAAATACATTTGAAATACCTAAAGTTTTCAAAAATCAATTATTTTATAACAATTTCATTAAATTAAAATCCATTAAACAATAAGTATAGAACCATAAAGTTTTATTCGCGAAAATTACAAATATTTCAAAACAAAATGAACAAAAATCCCGCCATTTTATGAAGTGGCGGCATTTTAGTTAATTTTCTCTATGAATTACATAATACTTAATGGGGGAGATGAGCTGAATGTGGTAAAAAGATTCTTATGTAGAGAATATTGAGGGGAGCAAGAGTGGAGGTATGTAGAATAAATTATGGATGAACTGCGTAAAAGAGGATCAGTTGGCTTACGAATACCAGTCTATCATATTGGACTTCACTCAGATTTATGTAATATGGTTATTAAACAAACTTACTCTGGTATGGTAAGAGTGTAAATTCCAAATTTAGTGTTTTCATCTTCTAAATGAAATATGGATTCGATGTATTCCTTGTCGGCTAGAACTGCCGGTGTCTCGAATACCAAGTTCATTATGTAGTCTTCAACACAACTGTGGGCGAGAGGAATTTTAGTTGTCAAAATCATTCAAATATATACTTACTAATTCGCTTTTGCCCGTAGCTGCACCCGCGTCTACGTCCGTAACCGACATACATCCGGGCGGAGCCGCAGGCAAAAGCTAGTGTAGCTAGCTAGTAATAAAAGAACATTTACTCGTAGCTAAAAGTAGTCTAAAATCTTCGTAGTAAAAATATCATTCAAGATTTCATCACTGCCGGCGTAATATGCCTAGATATCCTAGCAAGTTACAGCTTTTTAAACGAGTACTGTCTCTGAAGTAATCCGCAGACGGGCGTGTCGTAAGATCACACATCACATCACATCAACAGCCTTTAGTAGTAGTCCACTGCTGCACATAGGCCTCTCTTTAGGAAAGAGGTTTTGGCCTACTAAACCATGCTGGCCTGACGGTTTGGTAAAGGGTTTCCTTCAAGATTTCCTTCTTTTTGCAATGCTGTTGTCCCACGGGCTGTATAGGGGCGGTGACACTCCGTATTCTTAACCCTTCACCACACGGAAATGCGTATTTAATTATGTCGTGTCGTAACATCACGCTATAAAACTTGGGAGAAGAGCAAGAAACATAAATACCGGTGAAACTGAGTCGAATGGCTTAATCCCGACTAATAACACAAATGCGAAAGTAACCAACTGTCTGTTACGCTTTCACGGTTCAACCTCAGAACTGATTTTAATAAAATTTGTCATGAAGATACTTTGATTCTTGAGGAAAAACATAGACTAGTTTTTACCGTGATAACCAACATATGAGCGAGCGGAGCTTTGGGGCCAAAAGCTGGTTTGTCATTAAAAAGAAAACATTATGTAAAATATGAACTTGGAACTTACTAAGCGCAAGGTTTATATGGTACCAGCTTATCAATCTTGTTCGGCCGGATAACTTCCACGTGAGGATCTGCCACCAGTTTGGTAGCTGGAGGTGGAGCCTCCGTTGTTGATTTGCGTCCTTTTGGCATCGGCGGGGGCGGCTACAGAATTTATTACATCAATTAATTATTAACAATTAATTATCATAAAGTGGATGCATTGCTGAGATATGAGGAACAAAACTACAAACAACAAACAGATTAAAACAAAATAGAATATAACAAACAAAATAGATAAAAACAATCTTTGAAGCAGGTTGTATTTCGTATTAAAATTTCAACTTAATTGGTGAAGAACTTTTTGAGGTTTTGAAGTGTGCATGGACCAATTTAATATTTACAATGTTGTGGCAAACTAAACAATCATGAAAACACATGAATATTTTATGGAATTTATTTAAGAATCAGCTTAAGGAAGAAGAGGTTTAATCGGGAATATAGGTAATCGGTTACAGACAGAAGTTCCTTTGGAACAAGTTATATTAGGGTATAGCAAAACGGATTGGATGAGGGAGCTAGGGCAAGAGATGCAGCGATTCTCCGATGGGAAGCAGGTCTGAGACTGAGCAGCTCAAAGAAGCTTGGGTCCTTGGGTCGGTGCATCAAATAGCAACCACATTAACATCATTTAATATGTAGCCACTTACAAATACAAGAACTATCTGATATACCTTAACAGCACCATAAACAACTTCGATGAGACTTTTGATTTCGCACTCCAAGATGTTGAGGAACCGGCTGACATTCCACTGGGTTACCTCCCTGTGGTTTCCCAAGAGCACTAGCAGTGGAGTGATGTCGTACCTTATCAATCTGAAAATCATTTAAAAAAAATCTCAGGCCGGGGTGGCGGCGAGCGCGTTGCGAAGCGCGCTCGCTTTCAGGGAGCACAGGGAACATGGGGTTCCCACACGGGGCGGGGGTCGTCTACTCGTCTGTAGATGACCCGAGGTATGTCGGGGCACCAGGGCCTTCCTTTCTAGGGTATACCTGGTTCCCCGGCTATTAGTACCCGGCGAAGGCGTGCGGTTTTAGTCGGTTCGAGTCCGACATGCCACCGACAGGTGGTATCCGAGGGGATTTCCGCACGGAAAAAAAAAAAAAAAAAAAAAAAAAGGTACATTATCAAAGTAAGTTTCGGCGAGAAAGTTCTCGTAACTAATATCCTTTTAAGTTCGGGCAGGTCAATGCCTGTTAGGTCCTCTGAATTTATAAAGTGTACGAGTAATGTCAGTGGACTTCTTGTAAACCGCTGGATCGATTTTGATATTTTTGTTATGTGTGGTTGAGTGGGTCTTTCCATGATTTAGATTCCCATTAAGATCCGGTAGGTGATGCTCGGAGAAGATTCCAGGAATATATGTTTTATGTTAGGGCTGGAGAACGTCTATCGCTTGCTAATGCATATTAATATGCAAGTTGGTCTAGTGGTTAGTGGTACTGACTGCTAAGCCAGAAGTCGTGGGTTTGATTCCCACTGAGGACAAATAATTGGGTGATGAGCACGGTCATTTGTTCCGTGTCTGGGTGTTCTTTATCTATAATATGTATGACGTATGTATTTAAAAATATATAATTATGTTTATTTATTTAAGTATGTTTATCAGCAGTCTGGTTACCCTAGCACAGGCTCTGCCTAGTTTGGGATCAGACGGCCGTGTGTGAGATTCTCCTAATCTCTTGTGGGCAATTCCTTGCCGTGCGATGAGCATGATAGTGGTTTAGTAGAAGTTTATCAGTATGTTTGTTAAAATATATATGTGCGGGCAGTTGACGGCAATAGATTTGTAACCTATGGGACTAATGGTATTTATGGGACTATGATTATAGTCGGCAAATGCGACTGTCTACTCCTTCGGGGTAAAGATGTGACCCATAGCACTATAGTCCAATATAAAGCTTTGGAGGGCACCTACTTGACTAGATCATCAATGCCCTTCAGAACCTTATTAAAGGTATTCTCAGCGGCTATATTTTGGTTCAGCTTGTCTCTGGTTCTCTGCTGTTGTTCGTTCAGTTCCATTGTCATCTCAACTATTTTCCTCTCGTGTCTCTCAGTCTGAGCTTCATTTCTATCACGAGCGTCCACTAATAACAAATTAAAGTGTTCAATATATTCTTTTAGCTTTTATAATCTCTATTACACATCGAAATGGTAAGTTAGAAATTTGAATTAAATAAAAACTTGTGACGTCACTTTGATATTGTCAAATATATGAGACCGTGGAGTCGGCTCAATGTGTCGAATATAAATGGGACAAAATCACAGTGAACTGTGAATGAACGGTGATTTATCATTCGATTTTTTTCGTACGTAGGTTATATTAGATTTACTGTTAAATAGCGTCTAACCTACTTACCTAGTAACCCTAACCTACGTATGCAAAAATCTAATGATAAATCACAGTTCACTGTGATTTGTCTCATGTCTAGTGCCGAAAGATGGTTCATTCAGCACAAATGGGTGGGCTCGACTGCAGTGATGCCATGTCCTCACAGGAAACCGGTGTTAACAAAAAATACATGAAGTTTTGTTTATGATCTCACGTGCTTATTTAGAGATGCCCGACTGTTTAAGATCAATTTAACTTGACGATCTGTAACGTTATTTTTTTAATGCCTGACTCAAATATTAGGAGCTTTAGCGGCTATGATGTCACAGACAGACATATCGCTACATAAATATGTATACGTTAAAGATAAAACACCCCTCCTTTTGACGTCGGGGTTAATAAAGTCAAAAGAAAAACTGTTATAACTCACAAATCCTTTGTCTCATGCTTTCAAGATTTCTTCTCATGTGCATAGATTCTTGCAGAACTTCACACAGCAGAATAAACAATGAGAAGTTCTCTATCTCAGTCTTGTCAAAATTCGTCATAATGATACCCATTTTATGTGTTCCAGCGTAAGCCTATAGGAGTAAGAAATATTATGTACAGTCCGATGCAGATTTAATGGCGGCTCTGAACCTCGTGCGTTTCGATGCGCAGAACACATTAATAGACAACAGCGGGGGTACGGCGACTCACGACACGCATGCCTTTTAGTATGTGTGTTACATCCGTACACATGCGTGCATATTCCTGTCTACGTACAGTTGAGTCGACTTGACTGTAGGTACCTGCGTACACCTGTGCGCGCAGCTAACTTCTCTGACAGAGCCACCATTAAGTTTGCATCGGACTATACTGACTTACCTACTTGACGTATATTTGCACACCAATAATGTGGTAAAATGCAGCAGACAAATCTATATTTTGTAATACCTATAAATGTACATGTGTTTGCAAATAAATTGATTTGATTTGATTTGACCGTCTGCTTCTCTCAAAAGTTCGTTTTTGCAACATTTTTCATTGATACTCGACTGCTATTGGTCGTAACACGATGTTTTATGTATATTCTTGCTCGATAAAAGGGCTATCCAACACTAAAAGAATTTTTCAATTCGAACCAGCCGTTCACGTATGGTCACGACCAAGGGAAATAAGAATTCATTTTGATACAGATGTAAAACATAATGATACATCTAACTTTTACAAATGTAGAACCGACTTCAATATGCCTACACTGTAGTTCAAGCGCATTGAAGTCGGTGGATGTTCTATCTTCTATTTATATTCATGGTGGTCAAGTGTATATTATTAATATTACTTACAAAAACATCATCCAGCAGTTTGTCATATTTGGCAATCTCCTGTTCACATCTCATCACTTCTTCATGCCTCCGAATTTCTTCTTTCTCATCGGCCTCGCATAGTCTCCTGGAGCCCTTCGTACGCAGAAACTCTTCCAATTTTGCTAATTGATTTAAATCCCCCTCGAAACCTTGCATTTCCTTGAGATAAAAAATAAGTATGTTTATTAGCAGTCTGGTTACCATAAAACAGGATCAGCCTAGTATGTATTTTGTGTGTTTAGTCTCAAGTTATCATTATTATTATTAAAACAACAATATTTAGCGATTACTGGCGTCTTCAAGCAAGTCCTAAAAAAATAAAAAGAAGCAGGAAAGCGCTTTATTTAAATATCACAAAATAAAACAGCATCATATTTAAATTTAAATAATATTTGGTAGTTTTGGTTCCTTAACTGTTAAATATTATTATGTTAATCATGTACATGCAAAAAAAGGAGTGCGTTCTTAAGTAAAAAATATGCTGAGCAAAAATATTTGTGTACACAAAAAAAAAAACAACGAAACGAATAGATACAGCTTGCAGAGACTACAGAATTTTATCATTGCTATGAATAAGAATAGAGAAAGATATAGAAATAACTTATTCAGTTCCGATTCTACTTTTGAACTTACTATAAACGATTATAATGGAAGGCAGAAGAATTGCATTAAATGATGATGCAGCGAAGTTTACTAAGATACCGAAACGACTTTACAGTTCCTCTTTAGTCTACAGTTTCTTTCTCAACTTGTCTAAAAATACATACGGAAATATCTCTATTTAGCTGAAACAGCCCTCTCCATTTCAGAGCTTCGAGTTTCCTGCAGCACTCGTCTCGTTCAGCGAAGGCTACAGTGGCAATCTCAAATATATCCATCAGGTATTCTTTACCTCTCAGCAGTCTGCCTATGGTACGGTTCCATTGTACGTTGAAGTCATTTCTGAAGTAAATAAATATATTGTGAGAAGTAAAATTTGACAAGAGTAAAAGGAAGGAAAGAGAGAGGAAAGGCCTAAAAATTGCCAAGACAAGCCAAGCGAAGCACAAGGGCACTACCTACCTTTTCTTGGAGTGCTTCGTCGTTTTATTGAACCCTCAAAACTTGGGTTTGGCTATCAAATAAACGAATTTTTCGGAATATAATGTCTAATGAACTTATTGAACATATAAAGTTTCAATTTCTCTATTATACTTTAGATGTTATTGATAACTTCAAAACCCCGATTTTCTCACTGACTCACTGATGATCAAAAAAAATCTTAGGGTATTTTTCTGATGGCCCGAGGTATGTCGGGCACCAGGGACTTCCTTTCTAGGGTATACCTGGTTCCCCGGCTATTAGTACCCGAGACGGCGTGCGGTTTTAGTCGGTTCGAGTCCGACATGCCACCGACAGGTGGTATCCGAGGGGATTTCCGCACGGAAAAAAAAGGGTATTTTCTGATATTTGGTATGTAAGCTGGTACCACTCAAACCTCAACCAACATTCTAAAACTTGGATCTTTTACCTCTCAACCCTTAAACTAGGTGATGGAAGATTGTATGAGACTTCCGCAAATTTATACTAGAAGTCTGAAACTGATATAATTTGCCGTTTCGTTACTACAATAGCTTTTGTATAACAGGAAAGTGATGAACAGTGAGTAAATTCCTCACCTTACCATTACCCATGGGACAGTAGCGACACCGCCAAAAGATAACTCTTCCTAAGTTTTACAATAAGCTTCTTAAATAATCAAAACTCCCTCTTGGCATATACAGCAAGAGTATGTTTAAAACATAACCTCATACGAACCTCTCCACTAGCAGTCTATTTATCTCTTCTCTTATTTGACGGTTGCTAGCATTAACAATACAGAACCTCTTGGTGGCCAGGTCGAGACGATTTTCCATGCGACGAAGACGATTGTTGGCGGCCTCTAATATCGCCAGCTCCTGTGGATTAACTGGGATAATAATATTTTCTTCAATTTATTGAAAAAAATATATGTTAAGTGAAAATGTTCACGATGATATGATACATTGTCTCTCATTATTGAAAGGCAGCAAATCAGAAACACAAGTAGAAACATACACAGAAATGTTCAGTGTATGACTACTGTGTGTGTGTGTATTTTTACCCGACTGCCAAGGGAGGGTTATATTTTCGCGAGTGTCTTGTATGTTTGTTAATAAATTTCTTCAAATGGCTGAACGGATTTCGACAGTTAAGGTATTGTTTTATGCGTTTTAAAAAAAATAACCAAACTTATCGAGTAGGGTATCAAAATCAAGAAAGTAAGTGAAATATTTAAATTTAATTAGGAATAATAAATTGGTTTAAAATGTTTTTGATAGCCTAAAAAATGGCCATGTTTGTGTCGGTGGCCGTTGTGGGCCTTTAAGGTGGTGAGTACGTTCCCTTCTTGTAGATTTGAATTAAACTTTCCATCTTAGGTTATCAGGTTAGAAAGGGCAGATCTTGGCTTAGCACGTATTAATATATTTTGAGAATTAATAAAACAATTTTAGGCATAATTAAAAACGCTTTTACTTGGGAAATTTTAGGATGTGTATAATTCATTATAAATCGTTGACTTAAGTTTCAGATCTCCCAAAAAATAATGACAAAATGTACAAAAAGACTGAAGTCTCTAAATAAATAACATAGATAGAGTTTTTTCTTTAGAAGGGACAGGGTCAATTAAATAAAAATTTTATTACTTGTATTGTGTTAGGTTTAATTGGGATTTTTTAGGTGTAGTCACTTGTTTTGCTTTTTAAACGTACAATTTGATATCTTTCAAAGCTTGAGTTACTATTTTTAAAAATATATTAAATATACACATTTATTTCGATTCATGAAGATTTATTTTTTAGAAGACCATGGACAATGCTGAACAGAGAACCTGTGACCACTCACGTCAGCTTCTGTCGGAACAGTCTTGGAGAGGTCACAGATAAGTTTCTTTGCCAAGTAGTTCAGAACGTCCAATTCAGACTCTTGCGCCTTCTCATCTCTCAGCTCTGCCTCCAGGTTTTCGTAGTCAAGGATAGATTTCTGCGTGTTCTTCTTAACGACGGAATCGTGGACAGCATGTTGGCCTTTAGTTGCTAGCTGTAACAAAATATATTTCACTTGATATTCTTTAAATGATGTAATTGACTGCACGGATGGCGTAGTGGTTTAAGCGGTCGCCACGCCGCTTTCTACTACGCCGAGTGTTGTGGGTTCAAACCCCACATGGGACGACACTTTGTGTGATCCACAAATTGTTGTTCTGAGTCTGGGTGTTCTTTGTGTCCGTTTCATGTATGTTTGTAAAGTCCCCCGCGACACAGGATTTATTCCTAATGCGGGAGTTGTCTTTTAAAAAAAAAAAAAAAAACAAGGGGAAATAATCTGAAACAAAACACCCTACAGACGTAAACCTTTGGTTATCTAATTGTTCGAACTATATGTTTTTATTTATATAAAATATTGTTAATTACGAATATTTTTGGTGCGTTGTTTTATTTTCTCTAATTTATTGTTACGTGCCATATGATATAATTCGACCTGAGGTCAGACAGAGGTCATGTTGGCCGACTGTCGGGACTAAGTTTAACTATATTTTATTTACATAAATATTTAATACTGCTCATAGTGCTGGCAACATTGTGTCCGCAACGCCATCTTTATGGGTTGATAAACTGCGGTGCGCGGGAAGAACGCTGCTTTCAAATCTATACATGTTGTTAAGAATTCTGAAACCCGGCTTGCATTATTACTATAATATTACTAATATATAACTTCTTTTTAATTGTATAAAAATATTGTAACGTGATTTGGTTCAAAACGTACTAGTTTATAATCGTTTTTAAATAACTAACTCGTGGAAGAGCAATGAAAGAAATTCTCCAGTCAGTTCAAGCTCTGGTATCACTCAGTTCAAGCTCAAGTGTCACCCCGGTCAATCTGACCCATATGTGTTGAATAATGGCTCTCCCACGAAGCAAATTCTAACACGTTATGGTCAATTAACAGCTCACTGATGTGATGGCCGTTGTGATAAAAGCATCATCAATAAAAATGACTCGTACAAACTGCACAAATAGCGTAATGGTTTAAGCGGTCACCTCGCCGCTTCCCACTGCGCTGAGTGTTGTGGGACCGTCGAACCCCATAGGACAACACTTTGTGTGATCTACAAATTGTTGTTCTGAGTTTGGGTGTTCTTAGTGTCCGTTTCATTTATGTTTGTAAAGTCCCCCGCGACACAGAATATATTTTTAGTGCGGGAGTGTGTGTTTAAAAAAGAAAAAAAAGTAACTAACATTGATACAAAGTTGCGTCTCTTTCAGTTCATGCTTGAGAATGTTCATCTGTTTCTCTTGCGGCGCCAGCTGTGGTATTCCTGCTGCTCGCTTCGCCACACTGCACATTGGCGCCAGTTTTTGGAACTGTTGGTAAAAATAGGTTATGTTTATGGTTAATTACTTATCTTAATCTAGTGTAAAAATATCAAAATATTTTTTATCGTTTATCTGATCGTCATTAATTCGGTACACACACATTACTAAGGATACACAAAACTTAGACATCTTATCCGTTTATCGAAAAAAGTTCTGGTTTCTTTTTCAACAGCAAATTCGCGGCCAAAAGCGAGTATTACATACAAAAAGACAGAAAAAATTATAAATGTGTATGTTCATGTATTGTATGTGTATACTTGAGACCTCTATGTATATATGTAGTAATGAATATAGTATTTTATTTATAGTATATGTATGTAAGTTAGATTTATCTTAAATTAATAAATTTAATATAGAAGAGTCAAATTCTCTGTTTTTCTCTTGCACCTACAGCATCATTTTTCTACACCACCCGAAAATCGACTGGCAGGACATTAAGTCCGCCTGTGTACAACTTGTGCATTAAGTTAAATAAATAAATAAAAAATAAAAAGACTAGACTGGCGCATGTTCCAGGAAGGCAGATCTTAATGAAATGACATATGTATTATATAGAAAGTGAATTACATATGAATCAGTCTGTTTTAGAATGAAAAACAACAGATCTGTGTCACTCTGTTTTACGGCTATTCAGATATTAAGTGGACAGTTGTAGTAGGCAGTGTCTGCAGTCAGTGTGTAAGATAAAATTGCCTGACATTGTTGAATGTGAGTAGTGTCTGCCAGCGATTACGCTTGTTTGAGCCAAGTTTACATGCCATGGCAATTTCTATCTGTTAACCCAGGTCGTGAACACAAAGTTTAAAAAAAAAGTCGTGAACACAAAGTTTAGTGTTTCACAATCATTGATGTGTAAGCCGGTATACGGTTAAAACCGGATTGCAGTTTATTTGATTGCACGAGGTAAGCATTGTTGTGGTGATCTTTTATACAACTATACCATACACTAATTATGTCATCAATAGTAGTGATTTTAGGATATATTTCTAAAAGCGTCCAACATCATAGTGACCTAGAATGCATTATACCTATGTTTGCCAAATCTTTGCACTAAAAGAAAGATACTTACCATCCTCTGAGCGTTGCTGAGCTCAGCTTCTGGATCGACCACCTTCTGATCAATTTGAGTCGGCATTTTCTTACAAAATAATTCAGTTAGCAAAATAAACTATTACAAAAATATAAATATTACAATATCAAAGAAAATATTATTCACATCACAAGTAAAAATACATATTTTGACATTATATTTCAAAAAGGTATATTCTTTCTTCTTTAGATACCATTGACAAGGTATATAAATACTCTTTTTAAGATATGGGCCCTTTTTTTTTCCGTGCGGAAATCCCCTCGTATATCACCTATCGGTGGCATGTCGGACTCGAACCGACTAAAACCGCAAGCCGTCTCGGGTACTAATAGCCGGGGAACCAGGTATACCCTAGAAAGGAAGTCCCTGGTGCCCCGTCATAACATATGGGCCCTAAAAACGGATATTTTAAGTTTTGATGTAAGCGTATTGTTACGAGCAGGCTATATAATAAATAAAAGTTGTCAGTTAATTACTTAATTGAGCTGTATTTACAAACAGTCACTATAATAAACTAGAAATCACTGTATATCTCGTTAGTCGCACTAGAAGTTCACTCCGATGTCAATTCGCTGTGTCGTAAAACGATACTGTCCCAAACGGCCAACACTCTCCGCTTTTATAGCGCTTTTGAATTTTACTAGAAAAGTCCCTAGTATTCGATAGTCCGTTCCAGACAACAAGAATATTCTAGAATCAGTCACGCGTTACTTGCAGCACCATCTAGCGCTGTAAGCATCAGAACTACTCGTGTTAACCACAATCTTAATAGATGTACTTGAGTCGATACTAGATGGCGCTGTCTTCCACATTCCATACAATCGAACCATTTAATCCTATGGCGCAACACAGCACCCTCCTTAGATATGCTCGAGCATTATCGCTCCCATAATATCGCAGCAATCGATTAACATCCACATGAACTATCTTTAGGGGCGCCTCTTGGACCCTTCTGTATCCGGTTGGTGACATCATTGATTTTCGTCACCACTCGGTATGGTCCATCCCATTTGGCTTGTAGCTTCGAGGATCTCCCTTTACTGCGAACTATGGCGCAACAGTAACTATGTACAGTATTGGCTCTCCTACATTTTATTCGCTTCGTCTCATTAGCGGACATCACTCCACAAAAGACCCAAAATCCGAAACAAATATTTACAGATCACACATACATTTGGTCCGATCCGGGAATCGAACCAGACCTCGGCACAGCAGTCGCATACGCTACCACTGCACAATAAACTCTTTGAACCATCAAAAACAAAAGCTCACAATGTACCTTAGTCTCATTAGGTGGTGAGCTGGACACGGAGGCGCCAGAGACAGGCGCGTCGTCCGTGATAAAAACAGGCTGCGCCTAGTTAGGGACCAGACTGCCGTGTGTGAGATGTAACAAGTTATTATTATTTTAGGTCGTCATAGAAATGTCTCAGGCCGTATAAAAATAACAAAGACAGTAATTAGAACAAAACCTCAGAAGTAGGCACACTTCAAAATCATGTCAAATCATTCAAACATTTCAATCGTTGTTTAATGTGTCCGCTTGCTTTCTAATAGGGTTGTTGTCTTCTTTGATAATAAGTATTTTTTAATAAGAATAGTCTATTATAGTCGAAGTATATTTTGTAGTGTTATTTATTTCTTTAGGTATAATTAGTAACAAAATGCCAACAGAAATTAAAGAAAAATGTGTCGATCCGGAAGCAGAGCTCAGCAAAGTTCAGAGAACGGTGAGGAATTGCCTACAACAGATTTAGAGAATAGTAATATTAATAATAACTCTACACATTTCACACACGGCCGTCTGATCCTAAATTAGGCAGAGCCTGTGCTATGGTAACCATACTGCTGGTAAACATATATTTCTAACTACATGCATATTATAAATAAAATACACCCAGACACAGAACAAATGACTATGCTCATCACACAATTAATTGTCCAGAATGGAAATCAAGCCCACAACCTCTGGCGTAGCAGTCAGGGTCACTAACCACTACACCAATATCTAACCCGACATGAGAAATTATCGCATTTTTAACTAAAGTTACACAACTACTAAAGTACAGATATAGAATAGAATAGAATAATCTTTATTGTAAACCAATTCAGGATATTTTACATACAATAGTATTCCAAGTTAATGACCATGTACAAATGGCGCCCTTATCGCTAAAAAGCAATCTCTTACAGGCAACCTTTGGCTGGACAAAGCTTATATAATCGTACATCTTAGTTAACTTAGCACTTCTCGATTGCAGTTCGAAAATTTGGCACCACTCTGCAGCGTGAAGAAGCGCGCCGAGGGTATTCCGCAACTGGCACCGCAGGAGAAACAAATTGCAATCCTTAAAAATGAGATGCGTGAAACTTTGTTGTGTATTAATGTAAGTAATTTAAACCATATAAACGACACAAAGATAGTTTAAATAAACCTTCTAGGAGCCTGTGAACACCCAGGAGGCTTCTGTTTTTCTCTAAGAAACTTGCTTAGCACACCTAGGCAACTTACTCGACACATAAAGGGCGGTTTTTGAGTCTGTAACTGGAGCCTACCATCAAATGGTTTAAATGAAAAGTAGAAATATAGTGGTTACTAGACCTTTTTTTTAGAATAGGAGTCAGAAGAGCACACAGGTCACCTAAATTGCCAGCAGCCATCAACATCTGTAATTCAAGAGACAAGTGCGTTGCGGCTTTTGAGTACCCCTCGCCACAGACTTTGAGGGGGTTGAGCCTCCGCATAACTTGACTCGCTCGGGGAAGAGCAACTAAAAACTGTTTAACACCGGTTTCACACGGAGGAGGTGACGATGGGATTTTGACTAAGGTTGACCTACTAGCTATATGCAAAATAATTCATAAAAAAAAAACTAGAGTATATATAGAGTTTGATCTTTGTTTCTGTTTTTCTTTTTTCAAAGAAGTCATTCAGAATGAAACGCAGAGATATTGTTAGTAATTAAGATCCTATAAATCCGTTGTCATAACGGTTCCTGTTAAAAACTTGTGAATTTATATTTCAGCTCGCTAAGAAAGGACGTCATGCCCTTCGTGATGCATACACCAAGAGAACCATCCACCATTACATCAAGGAATATGAGTGTTTGGAGGTGGAACTGACAGACGAGAGGGCGCAGCAAACAGAACTGGACCTTCTGAACTATCTTTCTCATAAAGTTGTTGCAGATTTAACCAAACAAGTCCCTTCGCAATCGGATGTTAGTTATGCTTTATGTACCTATATTGTATTTGATAATTCTAGTTTCCAAATTTCATGTTTTATTTAATACTTTATTGTGTTTAATCTTTTTGATTTCCTTTAGTATTATAATAACTACGTTACAGGAGCTAGCAATGTTAGAGAATGCGAACAACAGTCTCCGCCGCATGGAAAATCGGCTAGACATGGCTACTAAAAGGTTCTGTATAGTCAACACGAATAACCAGTGTCTCAGGTCCGAGATACATAGACTACTGGTGGAGAGGTGAGAGAATGCCTTTCCATTTGTTTTAGTTACGAGTGAAATATATAACGAATAGCTTTTAGCAGCGGTTTCACTATGCCTCAAGAATCAAACTAACTCCATTTCAAATTTCATCAAAATCAGTTCAGCGGTTATTGATTCCCTATAAAAACTTTCAACCCCCTTTTCACCTCCCTAAAGGATGATTTCTGGGGTAAAAACTATGCCATGTCCTTGCTCAAGACTCAAAATATTTCTATACTAAATTTCATCTAAATCGTGAAAATATAACAGACAGACAGACAGGCACACTTTTACATTTATAATATTAGCATGGATTAGTATGGATTTTGGAGTGCCGTGCTTTTGTCATTATCATTGGTGATTGTTTATTTTTGGAATTCCAAAGTGCAGTGAAATTGTTTTACAAAGTTCAACCTGAATTTTATATGACTCAAAATCCGTTTTATTACTAATACAGTTGCTTGTATGACTTTGATACAATGCTTACTGCAACAGATTGCGAAAAGAACGGCCCCAGAATTAATTAATCTTGAAAAAAACTATTGTAAACTTTTACTATCATAATTTACTACAGAAATGACTTCAATATCCTGTGGAAAAATACTATAGACAGGCTTATGAAAGGAAAGGTATACTTGATGGATATCTTGGAGATAGCTAGCAATGTTTTTATGGAAAGAGATGAGTGTTGTAGAAAACTGGAAGATTTGAAGTGGAGGGGGCTAATGCAGCTCAACAAAGATATTTCAGTGAGTGTTTTAGCTTAAGAAACTTTTCTGCATTTATGTAAAAACTAGCTGACCCGCGCAACTTCGTCTGCGTCTCTCAATAGTAATAAATTTTCTCCGTTTTTGAAACATTCTTCATTGGTGCTCCGCTCCTATTGGTCTTAGCATGATGATATATAGCCTATAGCCTTCCTCGATAAATGGGCTATCTAACACTGAAAGAATTTTTCAAATCGGACAAGTAGTTCCTGAGATTAGCGCGTTCAAACAAACAAACAAACAAACAAACTTCTTCTTCTTTCAGCTTTATAATATTAGTATAGATTTACTTTTAATACACGTGTGGTGACGGATTAAGAATACAGAGTGTCACCATCCCTATTCATCCCGTGGGTGCCGTAAGAGCCGACTAAGCCAGCAAATTGCGCAGCACAACAGTATGGAGTACTGAACTGTACTGTACTAAGAAAAGGAAACCTTGAAACAAACAATATATCAACTCGCCTAGCCAGCCTGGTACAGTAGGCCATAACCTCCTTTCTAAGGAGACGTCTATGTCCAGCAGTGGACCATTAAAGGCTGTCAGTGATGATGTTGAATACGTGAAAAGAATGAAATTCTTTGTACCCTTTTTAAACAAATACGGGCTATGGCGCTCAGTAATATAAGTATACAATGTTACATCAATTTTTTTATCATAAATATTTGAATCTGCAGGAAATGAAAGCTTATGAATTTGAATTAAATCACCTTGCAAAGCTGGAAGAATTTCTGAGGGTCAAGGGTTCTCTAAAAATTTGCGAGGCCGATGAAATAGAAGAAGCGAAAAGATTAGAAGAGATCGCCAGGTGTGAACAAGAGATTGCACGACACGACACTCTTCTTGAAGAAATATTTGTTAGTATAATACTCAGAAAGATTTTTTACTATAATTATTAGGTACAGTATTAAGAAAACTACTGAACTAGTCGTGTAAAATATACGTAGTGTATTTGTATAAATTTGTTTTTCCTTGTGATAGAAAAAGAGATTTAAAAGCTATATTTTATAGTCATATCCTAATGCAGTATTTACACGCTTGCCATGGCTTGGCACACGTCCACAGGCTCCCAAGTCTTTGCAAACGCTTGTGAGTTCCGGAAAGGAAAACATAATAGACGTGGACGTTAAGTTGTGTTGGCTATTGCGTTTAGCTTAAATATTTTTATTTGAAATATAAACAGCGACACTATGTAAATATTTGGCAAGCGCTTGCCACGAGCATTTTTTTCTCTTCTTCTCCTGATCGACGTCAAGCCAAGCCAAACGCCCCGTTCAGTCGCTTGCGTTTATGGACACTTGTCTAGACTTGCCAAGCGTGTAAACTTAGCATTAGACCATTAATATGTCTATAACACTCGTTCAATATCATGGCGAAAACACAACTGAACAAAATGGAAAATAATTTAATGGTCAACGGTTGGACACTATTTTTTATGAATGATAGAAGTTCAAACTCATTACTATCTACCTACGCTTAAAATAGTGTAGCTCGTGGCCTGAAATAAGATTGCTTTCAGGAATACACTGGATGTGATAGAGTAGCAACTATCATTAGGAAATTCAAAAATAACGAGACAGAAACATGTTCCATGTTCATTTTGTTGTGTGAAATACTTCAAGAGTCCATAAAGCTAAGGCATGAGATTGAAGACTTAAGGAATAAAACTAGTAAGTGCCTTTTTGTTAAATTTTAAGAAGGCGACTGTATTTTTAATGATTCTTTTCATATTTTAACGAGTTTGGGGTAAATGCTTTGAGTCTTTAGATTAGCCGTTTGGTGACAGATGAATACAGAAGAATACGCAGTGTCACCACCACTATTTATCCCAGGGTGTCGTAGGAGCCGACCAAGGGAGCAAACTACGTAGGACAACAGCACTGCAAAGAGGAGGGACACATGAAACAAACCCTATACAAATCCTTATGGCCAGCATAGTATCCAGCCGTAGTACCTATATCCAGCAGTGAACTATTAAAGGCTGTTGATGATATCTACGTAAATACACCATGTCTGATTTCATTGGAAGAAAATTTGACACACCGGATTAAGAATACGGAATGTCGCCACCCCTTTTCATCCCGTGGGTGTCATAGGAGCCGACTAAGGGAACTATTAACGGCTGTTGATGAGATCTACGTAAATCTTGGACTGTACCATCTCTGATTTCATTGGAAGAAAATTTGACACACCGTATTAGGCAGCGCAGACACTGCTCTGAGTTACGACAAAAAAAGCTCTTGTATGTTTTTTAAACGTAGAAATATAAAAAGTGATTTTACATTTTAATTTCTCCCTTCCTCTAAAATCGCAAGCCTATTTTATTTACTACACAATTTAGTGGATTTTCGTGACTGGAACGAGGCGCGTGACGAGAAACAAGATAGAGAAATTGCAGCCCTGAATGAGAAGCTAAATCAACAACGACAGATAACTCAGATGATGAGAGAGAAAGTAGAAATCGGAGAAGTTTTGTTCAGTAAAGTGCTGAAAGGAATTGAAGATTTGGTTAGGTAAGACTGCATAAGATCCTTTAAGATAATTTAACGCTAGGAGAGCATTTTTTAGCACAAATGGGTCAGCCGACGGGAGTAATACCATGGCCTCACAGACAACCTGTGTTAAGCAGTTCTTTCGTTGATTTCCAACGAGGGTACGTGAGGTTGCCAGAGGTACAAACCCCAGCCCCGCTTTTTTTTTATGTTAGAGGGGGCAGACGAGCAAACAGGTCACCTGATGGAAAGTGACTGAACGTCTGCAACTCAAGAGTCATAAACGAGTCACAAAAGTCTTGAGCTGCGAGTGTCTATGAGCGCCGGTAGTCACTCCTGGGGCCGTCAGCTCGTTTGGTTTCTGTAGCAGTCGCTGGCTAGTTTTCTATTCCATTCTTTTATTGTCCATTCTTTGCCATTCTATTATATTTTCCATTTTTATCTTAGGCTTGTTAAATGTGAAGTTACGCCGTTACTGAAACTCTTGGGCAATCAGAAGGAGGTGACAAGGTGGAACGTATACAGGTTTATTAAAATCCTAGAGATGGAGGTCAAGAGTATTGTCCAAGTCGTATATGGTGCTGTGAAGGTTTGACTGACATCATTGTGTTATGTTTTTAATATTTAGTTTTATTTTGCTAAGTATTGATTTAAAACCTAAAGCATTAAATATTTAAGCATTTGTTTTAAAATAGGCATAGGTACACCCATTTAAACAGGAATATATTTCATTCATATGTTATTTCATCTTTTACTTGTTATTCTATTTCTTAATTTAAACAGAAACAATTTACCATATTCCCAGCCACCAGCACCTACACCCAAGAGTCGCAAACAAGAGCCAACCAAAAAGCTCGTTGCAGACCCACACGTAGAGTTCATCCGACCAAATCGTATCGAAAAGCTGGTGCCATATCAACCATGTGCTTAGTAAGTAATGCAATATCCCTGATACTCTATCCATGATAAAGACCGGTTCATATGTAGCTTATAATTTTAGTTACCAGCGATGCTATGCTATACAGCGCGATGCTAAGCTATACAGCGTTTACCAAGTGTATTTTGACAAAAAAAAAGAATCACGACATGTTCAAAATGAAGAAACCCACCATTGCAGGAATATATGGAGAATCATTTACAATAAGCAAATTTGTACCTAATAATGATATGGACTATTATTGAATAATTTATTACTGTTAATTATCCCAAATCAATAATTAAAATAAAATAATATAAACATAATCCGTGTGGAGACGGATTAAGAATACAGAGTGTCACCACCCCTATTCATCTCGTGGGTGTCGTAAGAGGCAACTAAGGGAGCAAACCGCGCAGGACAACAGCACTGCAGAGAGAAGGAAAACTTGACACAAACCCTATACCAACCCGCCTGGCCAGCGTGGAACAGCAGGCCAAAACCTCCTTTCTAAGGAGAGGCCTATGTTCAGCAGTGGACTATTAAAGGCTGTTGATGTGATGATGTGATGTGAATATAAAAATAAAATAAAATAATAAGATTCAGAATTCAGAATGTCATCGTTTTTTAAGACGGTTAAAAATGAATGAATTCAGTTTTAGACTAAAACTTAATACTACAAAAATATAAAAAGGAGCGACGGATTATCCGTGTGGTGACGGATTTGGTATCCGTGATGTGACGGATTAAGAATACAGTGTCACCACCCCTATTCATCCCGTGGGTGTCGTAAGAGCCGACTAAGGAAGTAAACTACGCAGGACAACAGCACTGCAGAGAGAAGGAAAACTTGACACAAACCCTATACCAACCCGTCTGGCCAGCGTGGTATAGAAGGCCAAAACCTCCTTTTTAAGGAGAGGCTTATGTCCAGCAGTGGACTATTTTAGGCTGTTGATGTTGATGTGATGTGAGTTTTACTGTAGCCGTATTATATGATGTGACTTCAGAAATCTTCACCTACCATTGGACGGCCAACTCCAGGACCACCCGCTCATTGGTGACATCAAATGGCTTGGTCTTCCTCGGCTTGCTGTTACATACTTCCGTTTCACGAAATTGGTCCCATTGAGTGCGGGACAAAAGACGTTACAGTTCAAAAATGCGTTGCAGGATTATTTCTCGTTCAATTGTCTTTTAACTGACTTCAAAAAGGAGCAGGTTATCATTTCGGATGTTTAAATTTAAATTTTTATGTACGTTCGGGCATAACTCCGTTAAATATAAACGGATTTATCAAATTCTTTTTTTTTGTTCGAAAGGGGTTTGTTTCGAAATGGTCCCATTCTTTCATATGGATCTGATGTTGTGTTTTGGAGGCAGACCTTTCTAAGAAGAGGCCTATGTCCAGCAGTGTACTAGTATAGGCTGTTGATGATTGTTTGAAATCTTTTCAACTTTCTTTTTATTCTGTGATTAATTAGTGTTTATAATTGTTCGTTTTTAACTTTTGTTTTGTTTGCAGTTGCGTTGAGGACTACATTATGAACTTAGTATTTGAAACTCCAGCAGTTCCAGCCGATAAGAAGTATGTGGAAAGTATATTCCGTCTTGAGGACGTCAATACCAATTTCGGAATATTTACCCTAACTATTCCAGCGTGAGTTTTTATGCAATATACCAAACTTTGTATGAATATCTGTTTCAGTTTAACTTTATAACTAACGCTCTTATATATCCCCCTCATCATCAGTCATAAGTAACCCATGATGACCCACACTAAAGCAGAGGGTAGATGGCAATTTTCAGGAACTGTTAAAGAACCAACAAACTTCTCCTTTTACTTGTTCTTTTCTTAATTTCTATTTTTCTCTGACGGAAAAGTAAATTGCAGGCCTGCCAATTATTCCAAATATCCTTACCTTCTTCTAAAAATTACATCCATAGCATGACAAGGTAGCCAATTAAACATTATATTTTCCAAACTCGTGTCACACGGTTGGAAACTGGACCAGCCTTATTAGATCCAGAGTGACTTTGTTTGACTTTGACTTTACTATGTACATATATTGTAACAATTCATCTGACAGTCATACGCCGGTGACCGCTACTGGAGTTTAATGATGCTTGCTGTGTTCTTGTCACGATTTTAATAAATATTCTCATCATTTAATCCACTATATCGCCGACTGTTTGTAACGTTGCGAATATTCTATATTGATTGTGTCTTTTGACTATGTCTCCCCCTTCTCCCCCCAGAATCAGAGGGAGGGGGTTCAGGCTCTGATACCTTTACTCACTTGGTGAAAAGTAACAAAAGAATTGTTTATTGCTGGCTGGCATGGCTCTCCTATTCACTACAATAACTGTGGCTCAATGTCCCCGTGACGTGATACTGGGATAAATCACCACTGTGAGAATTGTTGTTAATTGTTTTGTTTTTTTCAGAAAACGACATCCATTCAGAGGTTCAAAGAAAAATTAAAGCACCGGGTCTTCCATTTTTATATTTGGTTAATTTAAATTATTAATTTATAATAGTGTTTATGATAAGATGAGTGTGGTAATTAATATGATTATAGCATACTTTAGTTCAATGTATTATTATAATTGTCATAAAATTAGAAATAATAACATGTATTGTGGTGTAATATGAGAAAAATATAAATAAATAGGAACAAGTGTATTGTGTGTGTGTTATTTTATTTCAAACGCTTCAACGCGACGCAATATTTCACTTTTCCATTGGTCCGGACCATTGACTTGTCACTGAACTGCCACTGATACAATTGTCGTAGATATCTTTGAAATAGTTTCATAAATGGTACATTTTGAATTTGTAATAATTTAATAAGTGGTACATTTTGAATTTGTAATAGTTTCATAAATGGTACATTTTGAATTTGTAATAATTTAATAAGTGGTACATTTTGAATTTGTAATAGTTTCATAAATGGTACATTTTGAATTTGTAATAGTTTCATAAATGGTACATTTTGAATTTGTAATAGTTTCATAAATGGTACACTTTGAATTTGTAAGGAAATTATATATCAAATTAAAAATATGCCAATGTTGTCAGTATCACCATTGATAACCGATATCAATGGCATCTCAACAGCGTTTTAATGGAATGACAGTGGTTGGTACGTTAATTCAACTCAACTTTTGGTTAATGGCTTTGTGGTAGAGTGTAACCACAATTTCGCCAATGTCATGTATTTGAAAGACAAACTGTCAAAGGATTTTATGTAGAGCTGTGGTAGAGTACGTTAATATAAAGTAGTAAAATTGAGGCCCTGTCCGCTCGTTCGCTCCAGGTTCCATAAAAAAGACAATAGCTATCATAAATGCAAGAACATTTTGTTTACAGCATAAGAGATTGTTAGATTTTCACTAACTTTTGCCCGCGACTTTGTCTGCGTGGTGGTCGACATCAGATATCGTAGAGGATACAATGAATCAAGTTTATAGTTATAAATTCCCAACCCACACTATTTTATAACAATCTTATTTAAAAAGTAAAAAAGATAGGTGTCTAATTATTATTTTTAATTTTAATTGAGAATATAATTATACTGAATTTGGAATCGATCAGTTAAAAAAATGTTCCCAATATAAATTCGCACGAATGAGTTTAAGAGTGGTTTAAAAAAAGGTAGTAACAACATTTTTTATTACTTTCACTATATTAGACTCTGAACTATAAAGAGTTTTTACTGTGAGTTTGAAAACGTTACTACCAAAACTAACGAAGTTTCATATAAATTTTCAACCCCCAGTTTATACTCTTAGGGGTGGAATTATTAAAAATCCTATCTAGGTGCACACCTACGTCACTTAAGGTACATTTGTGTTAAATTTCATGTTTCTAGATCCAGCGGTTTCATCAGCCAGTGAATCAGTCTGTAAATTTCTTCTTTCATAGATATAGATTTCATTAAACCTTCATGCTTAACTGTCAGTAGTGTCTGAATTACTCACTTGATATTTGCAGATGGTGAGAATTGTCATTGCCCGTGTTGACCTGTGTTTGTTCTTTCGCAATCAGTGGTTACTAGTATTTAATGTTTATGTTAGAAAACTTATTTCTATAAATAATATAGTTAGGAATGGGGCCATTGAATTGAAAGAAGAAGACTAGTCAGGAGCTTTAGTGTCCCTGTGGCAGGAGAACTATTTTTTGTTGGATAGCATTCTCTTATATTTTATTGTTATTGGTGTATAAAAAATGTCGGATGAGAAGGAAGTTACTGCAGTGAATGCTGAAGATGAACTCAGTCGTGTTCAAAGAACGGTAATTTTCAGGACTTATTAAGACTAAGAGTGTATTTGTTTAGCATATAATGCATAATTCAATAAAAACTCCTTCCTAAAAGGCCGGCAACGCGTTTGTGACTCCTGAGTTGCAGACGTTCATGGGCGGCGATAATAACTTTCCATCAGGTGACCCTGCTCTGGTGTCTGCTCGTCTGCCCCCTCTAACATAAAAAAGAAAAAATCATTTTACAAATCGGACGAACAATACCATTCCCAAGAACACAGTTCCAAAAATGAATTAGGCAAACAGAATGAAACAAAACATAATGATAAGAGCACTTTGATATTTTCAGTTTAATAAACTGGCACCACTATGCAGTTTAGAGAAGATAGCGAAAGGGACACCGCAGCTTGCGCCGCAAGAGAAACAGATGGAGATTCTCAAAAATGAGATGGAAGAGACTATCCTTTGTCTGAGTGTAAGTTCATCAACGAATAACATTTTCAGTCGTCGAATATGACGCCGATAAACTATTTCTTTTTGTAATACTAGCTGACCCGGCGAACTCTGTTCCGCCTTAAAGGCAATAAATAAGCCGATTTTCGAATTTAGTAAGTTAATTTTTTTCTTAGAAAAAATCTTCCGTCTTTGAAAATTCAAGCATTCCAAGTATAATAACGTGGCATCTCCGAGTAAAGCAAAGATCGTGCAAACTTTTTTTTTTTCGGAATAAATAGTATCCTATGTCCGTCTCCTGACTCTAAGCTACCTCCTCACCAATTTTCAGCCATATCGGTAAAGCCGTTCTTGAGTTATAAATAGTGTAACTAACACGACTTTCTTTTATATATATAGATTATATAAAATGTATATAATAGTAATAGTTCTCTTTAGCAATGACTTAAGAAAAATATATCTCTGTGGTTTGTTTCGGCGTTTCTTATCAGAGCGAGTCTTAGAAAATGCCGGCGCCGTCTAGCTGTAGAGTCCAAATTGGAAAAATATCTGAAAAGATTTACTTGGAGAAATAAATATCATTTTATTATTTACAGTTAACAAAACAACGTCGGAATGTGGTGCAAACTGCAAAGGCCAAGAGAAACATCTGCAAATCTGTTATCGATTATGAGAACCTGCTCGAGAAGCTAAGAGAAGAAAAGGCACAGAAGACTGAAATGGATATTCTGAACTACCTCGCTAATAAGACCATATTAGATTTAGCTAAGGAGATCCCTTCGGAAAATGATGTGAGTCTTAAGAAAGTTTAAGGCTAATTTCAGTACAGAGCAGTGCAATTGCATTACTTGATTAATTGTTCAACAGGAAATAGCGATGTTTGAGAGAGCTAGTAATAGCCTACGTCGTATGGAGAACAGACTCGATCTTGCCACAAAAAGACTCTGTTCTATTAACACAGACAACAAGTTATTGAGAGAAGAAATCAATAGACTTCTTGTTGAACGGTTAGTATTAAAGATTTCATTGATTTAATTCATTTCATTATTGCATTCTTGGTTCTTAGGTTCGATTCACATTGAAGTGTCGGTAAATGGCGGTTTTATTTTCCTACTATTTTGAACTCTATTCTAGTCTAATCTTCCTTATTTATACTCTCTTTCGTATTCGACAAAGAACTACTTCTTACCTTCTAGATTGCTGCTTAAATTTTGTAAGTTATGACATTTGACTTTCAACGATAAATTGTGGAGATCTTTATCTTTGAAAGAGTAAAAGTCTTGTACTAAGAATAAATTTCTGGGAGATTTTTTTCTTTATTTTTCCTAAGCCACGCAATCTTCGCCAATTGAAGCCATCTAATTTCCCAAACATCGTCAAACCTCACCTGTCAAACCAGCTTTATATGGTATTTTGTAATTACCAGCAAATTACTACAATATATGACTTGAACACACAAGTTAAAACGTACGTAAACTTTTTAGAATGCAGTAAGAATTATGTGCATTGCTTTATTACTTTAAACGAATTCTATTTCAGGAGGATGTTTAATACACAATGGCAACGAGCCATAGACAGGCTAGTTAGAGGTAAAGGCTACCTGTTGGATATCTTTGAGGTTGCGTCAACAGCCTTTGCTGAAAGGGACGAGTACTGTAGGAAACTTGACGTTCTAAAGTGGAAAGGGCTTTTCCAGCTCAATAAGGATATTGCAGTGCGTATTGTAAATCTTTATGAATATCAAGATGGATTTTTATGGTATGGGGGACAAACCGGCAGATCCGTGATCTGATCACCGTCACAAGAGCACCGTCGTCCTTTGAGTACCTCATAATTCTGGGGATGACCCAGAATTAGGAGACAGGGTTAGGTCTCTGATGTTGAAGGGTCTTCCTATAAGCTCATTCACTCGGTTGAACTTTCGCCAAAGCTAGCTCTGCTAAATAGCTTTTCTTTTTTCGCGAAGGCTTTCAACAAATGTGGCTTATGTACATATATCAGTGGGAGTGTATTTGCCAGTTTTAACATAATGCATTTATTTAAATGAAACCACTTCGAAAACTCAAACCACGATTTGACTACAAAGAAAACTAGATCCTTTTGTGGATTATTAAACAGAAGAAGTCAATTAAATATTAATTTGCCTTATGTATTAATAATATTTTAATGCCCTGTTAATATTGTTATTATTATTAACTGAGCATGGCCAGAGAACTATTTTAAATCCCAATTTTGTTTTATAAGAAAATGCCTTATATACAGGATATGCAATTTTACGAAGGGGATTTAAACCACCTGGCTAAGTTAGAAGAATTTATACGAGTCAAGTGTTCTCGGAGAATTTGTGAAGCTGATGAGATAGAAGCTATGATGATGGAGGAAGAAATAGCCAGGTGTGAGAAGGAGGTAGCTAAATACGATGATCTGCTGGAAGAAATCTTTGTTAGTGAAGTTTTGCACATTTAAAATATGCATAGTCTAGACATCTTTGTTTAAAGCTAAATAATACTGTGCCGCCTTTTTTAGAATTTCACTGGCAAGGACAGTGTTGCTACTGTTATAAAACCATTCAGGGAAACTGAGATAAGGAACGATTCTTTATTCAAACTGCTGTGTGACGTTATGAAAGAAAGTATTTTTATAAGAAAAGAATTACAAAACATTAGACAAAGGATTAGTAAGTTAACACAAATTTTGTTCAGTAAATAATAATATATGTTTTTATACATCAGAGCCTCTTTTTGCACCTCTCGTGACGTTGCAGTAAAATACAAGCATGCACTACACATACGCCGCATGCGCATTTAAAGAACTTTTTAGTACTTAAAAGTTTTTATGATTTTAGTTTTTGGGTTATTATATAAGATAAATATAAAAATAAATTTTGATTATGTCAAGTGGATACTCAAGAAGAAAAAGAGGCTACTAAGGAGAAGCAAATAAGGAACATTGCTGACTTGAGAATGCAGTTAGAAGAACAACAAAAGCGTAAGCAGCATCAGCGAGAATTGAACCTTGCTGCTCAAGAGGCTTTAGAGAAGGTAGTGAATGCCATCGATGAACTTTTCAGGTATGCACTGCAAAAAACGATTGGTTTTCAATAAGTACGAATCTTACACAGAAGCGTTAACCAGTGGCGGCCTTAGAATTTGCGAGGCCCCGGGCCGGGAATTAGTTTTAATGATGCTCGAACATAAAAAGGCACGATATCCAAATAAACATATTTTTCTACTTGGCAGTTGCCTTTTCGCAATCCCTAAAGGCCGCCTCTGATGTTAACGAGATACCAGAGATATCATTCAAGATACGGCAGATACTTCACCCAGCTTTTGCTTATTATGTTCATCACTAGCTGTTTTATCATTAAAGATGCTAGGAATAAGAAAGTAAACAGCTTTACAAAAACAGTATGGCTGCTTTGAGTTTGTGAAGATGAACTGCCGGTTATATTTTTATACATGGTCTTCACCAAGCTGTTTAATAGAAATATTATTTTCTAAACATCCATCGTTTGGTTTTAGTCCCTCAAAACCTTGCCTTTATTAATAGCTCTTGTAGATTGTATGCTTATGCACAAAAAGAAAATATCTGTTGAAAACCTTGTATTAAAGCTACAAGTCACTGTTTATAGACTTTTATAATAATTTAAGCAAATATATGGATGGCGTAGTGGTTTCCGTGTGGTGACGGATTAAGAATACAGATTGTCACCCACCCACCACCCCTACTCATCCCGTGGGTGTCGTAAGAGGCGACTAAGGGAGCAAACTACGCAGGACAACAGCACTGCACAGCGAAGGAAAACTTGAAACAAACCCTATACCAACCCGTCTGGCCAGCGTGGTATAGTGGGCCAAAACCTCCTTCCTAAGGAGAGGCCTATGTCTAGCAGTGGACTAGTAAAGGCTGTTGATGTGATGTAGTGGTTTAAGCGGTCTCCACGCCGCTTTCTACTACGCCGAGTGTTGCGGGTTCAAACCCCACATGGGACAACACTTTGTGTGATCCACAAATTGTTGTTCTGAGTCTGGATGTTCTTTATGTCCGTTTCATGTAAGTTTGTAAAGTCAGCTGTAACACAGGAAATATTCCTAATGCGGGAGTTGTCTTTACACAAATCCTTATAACTTTTAGAATCTCTAAATGCAACGCTACACCTTTTTTGAAGCTCTTGGGTAAAAAAAATGCCAACACGTGGAACGTACACAAGTATGTCAGCGTTCTGGAAATGGAAGTTAAAAGTCTTGTACAAATAGCATATGGAGTCGTAAAGGTTGGTAACATTTCCATTAATATGTATATGTCCATCCTCATATACAACGCTCTCTTATATACAACGCATCATAGAGACATATGTGCACATGTAACGAAATTTCTGTCTTAAGTCACTTTACAACACTTACGCTTTTAAAACAAGAATAGAGATATTTCAAAATGTATCACGACTACCACACGAGTTCATACTGCCCATATTACGCTCATGATTCGTGGAGCAATGCATAGATTACCATTTGCCGGTCTCTAATGGTTTTTAGAACAATTGTATTGGTGTTGCTATTTGCAAAAATATTTGGTCCATGGTATTTTTGGGCTATAGTCAAGTAAAACAGTCGGTAGTATACCAAAAAAATTGTAAATATAATTAATTATCTACCAAACCTAATCCTTAAGATTGCTCATGACCTAACTCGCAATCGGAATCTAATCTCTATGTACTTATTTAATGATGATGACTCTGACCTCCGATTTGGCAATATCATCACAAATCATCAATATAATTTATGAATATTTCAGCCGCCTTCGGAGACACCGAAAGGTCATAAAGGTGCACGCACAAAACCCATGAAGCTCGTTGCGGACCCACACGTGGAGATCATCAGGCCAAACAAGATCGAAAAATTGGTGCCTTATCTACCCTGTGCTTAGTAAGTATATTTACTTTAAATCATCAGTGGATCTTAGGTTATAGAAGATACCGGGTTAAGTCTTCAAAAGAGAATAAGGCAAAATTACTTCAGTGCAATTTTTTTTCAAAAACAGTTTCTCAAAAGCAATTGTTTTATAAAAAAAAATATATTGTATTTTGGCCTTTAATGTAGCTTCGCTTACGAGGAGATTTTTCTAACCCTATTTCTATTTACAGTACTTTTTTTTGAATAAAAGGTATGTCGTCTATGTCTGCAAAATTTAATGATGTTATTTCAAGCTCCTAAATTAATGGGCCGATTATGATGCGGTTTTTTAAGCTAACGTAATTGAGAGGGTTCTTAGATATAATTTGTTTAGATCATCAGCTCATTTCTTGGTTAATGAAGGGATCTCACTAACTTACACAGTTCACTCACTCACTTCAGTATTAGTTCCATGATATGGTAACCTGACCTGATGCTGCAGCTGAATCTTGGGTTGAAGCTGGTGTCAGAGGTGTTCTACATTTTTTAATTTGTGTTACACATTATTTTTCTTAGACAATACGATATTAATTTTACGTTCATGCCTCTTAGTTGCGTAGAGGAATACATCATGAACCAGGTATTCGAAACTCCAGCAGTGCCAGCTGATAAACAGTATATCCAGGAAATTCTCCATCTTGACGAACCGAACACCAAATTCGGAATACACACCTTGACTATACCGGAGTAAGTTCTTGTTTGACTTTCTAAGTTATTTATCTAAGTACAAATAAGAGAAAAGACTAAATTGCCGTAGTAGCGCAATCACAATCGCAGTTTAAATCATTGAGACTACAATAAACAACGTCATTAAATGATTATGACTTAAATGTAGCAATAATTTTCATGTCTAATAAACCCAGTAATATATATTATAATGATTTTTTATAGCCGTCGTCACCCAAACCGAAAGGTTAAAACCTCCAAACCCAATTGATTTCTGAAAAATATTTGTCACTCTATCACGGTTTCCGAGGACGATGGCCATATCATTTATGGGCAAGCCTTGAGGAGATACAATTCTGTAAGGATTTTCATAGTTATAATGAATTATTTTAATGTTTTACTTTTATTCTAAGAACATGAAACTAGTGCTACATCGATAAGAAATATTAGCCTATAATTATGTTTGTATTATTTAAGATTTCAATATTAAGTTTATAAAATAAATGAACTCTAAGAATTTAGCTGTTAGTTTTATTTATATAAATAAAATAAAGATGACTCACTAGATAATGCATGCAACCTCTAAAACCCTTTAAACAAGGGTATCAAATAAAACTAAAATCATTACTTCCGAAGGAATACCCTTTTAGTCAAATGATTAACACAGAGGCTTTTTCCTCATAACTCATAATTATATTAACGTTATATTATGAAACAAAAACTCAAAAATGACTGGAAATTTTTAGACAAATATCTTGGTTATTCAATAAACTGAATTACCTACTTCAGCCTTTTTTTTTTTTTTTTTCCGTGCGGAAATCCCCTCTGATACCACCTTAAAAAGTATAACGAGTGTTTAGGTGATGATGTTAAATGAAAGGGGTCCCTAATTCTTACACTGTTTATTCACATCACACAGAGATGTTATACCTACAAATGATGCACAACTAGTGAACCGCGTCCTACGCGACAAAAGGCTTTTTATAACCGATGCGACCAAAGTGTGCGTCGCCTCGTTGCCTATGTAATAACCCCTACAAGTGCATAAGAACCCCCTAGGGACCGTAGTGGAACACGTGGCAGCGGATGGATGTAGAGTGCCCAAGACTAGGATAGTTGGCCCTCCTTGGGTGGAGACCTTCATGTGGACAGAAACAAGCTGATGAACTTTTTGGGATTCAACATTTTGGTACAGCAAAACCCAGAAAAAACAACTTAACACAATTATTGCACATGTGGCAAGTAGTGGCTCTTGTTCTGGCTTCAGAAGAAGAAAAACTGAAGTAAACAGGAGCATCTCTTTTAAAATCCGACGACAGCACGCGATAACTGATGTATTTATTTAAGAAAAAAAATATATAAATAAAAATCAACTGTAGTTATATAATACTGTATTAAAATATTTCAATGAAATATATCAACTATTTTATTTACTGCTAGATATTACTATATATTAAATGATCACGAAGTAACGCATCGTGATCAATCCTTCTTTGCGCGGAACGGGTGACGTTTCCTGGAAAAAAGGCGAACATTATAAACTTTATATAACGTATTACAAAACAAAGTCTCCCGCCGTGGGTATCTATATATACTTCTGTTCGCAATAACTTCAAGAACTACTGAAAATATTTCAACGCGGTTTAGATAAATAGACGGTAGTGGTCGTTTTGTTTGACAGAAGCCGAAGTTTCCATACGGGACACACAAAAGTGTGATCCACAAATAGTTTTCTGGAGCAAAACAGGCTCCAGAAAACTATTTGTGGATGCATTGCTTGACTATACACTCCCCCGCGATACTAAGAATCATTCCTAAAGCAATCCTTTTTTAAACAAAAAAGAAATAGCCGATTTAACGGTTTCTTTCCGTTTTATACTACTATTATGTACTAGTACATATTTCATATCATTATATATGTCAAATTTAAGCAATTTAAATTAAAAAAGTAATACCGACTTCAGTTTATTTTTTCAAGATAGCTTCTAGGAATATATCCTGTGTCGCGGGGAACTTTAAAAACATTCACAAAACAGACACAAAGAACACCCAGACTTAGAAAAAATTGTGGATGGAACACAAACACACAGCGTCGGGTGATCGCTGACATCATTACGCCATTGTATTTGTACTTGTATTCTAATAGGAAGTATACCTTCCCAAATAAAAATAGTTTGGAGGTAACTTCAAAGAAAATACAACCGACTTGAGGAAATTCAATGTTGGATGGTTAAAAATTACTAATACTTACGACGGTATTGTGAGTGTAAATATTCCGAACTTCGTGTTCACATCCTCAAGATGGAAGAAAGTCTCGACGTATGCCCTGTCGGCTGGAACTGCAGGAGTCTCAAACACTTGGTTCATCATGTAATCCTCCACACAACTGTGGATGAAAAATATAACCTTATAACTGCACGTTACCAACATACTCTTTTTCCGTGCGTTGGGTGGTTAAGTCAGACTGGAACCGACTAAAAACCGTATGCCGTCTTGGGTACCAGTAACCAGGGAACCAGATTTACCCTAGAAAGGAAATCCCTGGTACCCCGGACGGATGGTTCGTTAGCAACATGCCCTAAACTCATAACATGGCCTGTAGAGAATAAAGCAGACCGCGTTTTAAACAACTTATTGTGTTGATCATCGTCAAGTATATATTTTAAACATCATTCAGACAAGTCTACAAAATTTTAAACTGATTATCCAAATATCTTACTAGGCGCAGGGTTGGTAGGGAACCAGTTTCTCAATTCTGTTCGGCCGAAGAATCTCGAAGTACGGGTCTGCCACGAGCTTTGCTGGCTCTGGTGCGCCTTTGCGACCTTTTGGAGTAGGCGCAGGTGGCTAGAGATTGTTATAAAGAAATTAATATAAAATACGGATTTGTCTGGTTGCTTAGTTTGGACTGTGTCAAGATATGACCAGTTATGTTAATATTTGAAAAATGAATTGCTGTTTGTTAGTTTTCTAGTTCGGTTAAAAATTGGACGGAAACAGTAAAAACAATCATAGGTCTTGGTGATAGAAAGTTCATCGGGTCATCAAGTGTGGATAAATTTCGTAAACCGAGCCTAATAAATCATCAGCCAATAAATTGAACATATATTTTTTACACTCACACAACGTCATCTAGTTCTAAACTAAGCAGAGTTTGTACTATGGTTACTAGACAACTGATAAATATATAAATTTACTTATTTCTTTGTAAATACATACTTATCATACATAGAAACACCCAGACCAAATCAAACATTATCCGTTCATGCACACAAATGTTTGACTCGAGCGGGAACCTTTGGCGTATATTAAATATTCATAGAAAATATTCGAGACCTTGACAGCTCCATATGCCACTTCAATGAGGCTTTTTATTTCCAGTTCCAGAATACGAAGGAACTTTTTCACATTCCACGTAGTCACTTCCTTGTGGTTGCCCAGGAGTGACAGTAATGGTGTGACTTCACATCGCGATATTCTGGAAGATATAAAAGTAAATAATTTACCCATAGTTTAGAAAAACGTTGGATTGAAGAATGGTATTAACTGTCATTTAGTACTGCAATAATATATGAAGACTCCTGAGCCGAGAATTAGACCCAGGAGATGCAGGCACTTTTTCAGTAATAATCAGTTCTAGTCCTTCAAATGTCTGTCCAACTAGCGAAGGTTTGCAGACAGTTTTCTGTATTATTTCTTGTTTTTCGTGAGGCGAAAGAGATCGGCAGCGATGCAGTCGTTATGTAGTATTTCGAATTGAAAGATAGTATGAACCGGTTTAACGGAACGTAATTAAATCAATATTGTTCATACCTGACCAGATCATCAATACCCTTCAGAACCCTGGCAAATAAGTTCTCGGAGAGCGTGTTTTTGTCAGCTTTCGCCTGGGTAATTTCTCGTTGCTTAGTTAACTCGACCGTAAGCACACCAATCCTCTTATCTTCACGGTCCGCTCGTCCCACGTTTATATCCGTTTGGTCCACTAGAGTTACATAACATAGTATTATTGATTCACATTCAACTTTTCTTTTTATTACTATATATTTTACCCCAAAGTACCAAGCTGCATCTGTCTATCTGTTCGCGATAAACTTTCACCCGATTCATGGGGAAAGGTTTCGATGTATAATATGTTGATTTTTTTTAATTAGTTGAAATAAAATAGATGTAGGCATAATACCTATGATCCAACTAAGCCGAATCCATGCGAAGCCGAGACGGTTCGCTAGTTATAAATAAAACACTAAGTGCTAAGTTATAGTGATATTTTAGGGTTGTAGGGATCCCGTAGTGCTAAAAAATTTAGGATGCTGTAACCTGGTGTTATAACTGAAAACTTGATAAACAGTTAAACTAAAAATTGACCCGTAAACCCTAAAATGTAAACGAGAGGTTTCACATCATCAAGCTAATTGAAAATAACTAATGAGTTCCTGCATCTGCAAAAGACACTTCAGGACATAAAACATGCAGTCAATAACTGATAACATCTAAATTGCCATTTTCGTTAGAAAGTCCGCTACTGTTAATCTGTTCAATTTTATCAAGATAATTAAGTATTTAATAAACAAAATTAAAAAAACATGTTCAAGAAACATACGAATTCTTTGCCTGGAGATTTCAAGTTCTCTTTTCAGCAAAATGCTCTCCTGCAGCACTTCGATCAGCAAAGTGAAAAACGAAAAATTATTTATTTCTGTATCCTTAAACATCTTTATAACTGTAGGCACGCTGTGGGTTCCAGCATATTCCTGTATTGAAAGGCAAGGATCATATTTATATTCATTATAAGTTACTAACTATCCTATCTATGCAATAAATAAAGCGAAATGTACGTACGATTCGTACGATCCGATTGTTTTTTCTGCAGAAGAAATATGACAAAAGTTTAAACAAAATGTCAGACGCATTCGTCGTCTAAACGGATATACTACTCTACTTACATACTCGGACTTACATACATGGTTTAGCTCAGACTTGGAAAAAAAATACCTACAGGGGTTGATAAAAGGCGACCGGGAGAGGTATAGAACTCTCCCGGTCCGCCAGGACCGGGAACGGGCTAGGTACCGGCGATGACGCAGATGCCCGATATCGCAGAACGACCTCCGTTCTCCTTAAGCGCAGGGCTGAGGTTCACAGGTGAGGCCATTTGGCACCCCAGCAGAAGCAGGCCGGGGTGACGGCGCCCTTTAGGGAGTTGAATAGGAGCACCGTGGTTCCCGCACACGAGGGGTCATCTACAAGCCGCAGATGATCCGTGGTCCGTCGGGATATTTCCTACTTACAGTACACCTGGTTCCCAGGCTACTGGTAGCCGAGACGGCATATGGTTTTTGGTCTGTTCAAGTCTGACATAACCACCACACCGGTGGTTATGTCAGATCCGAAGGTATCCGAAGAGATTTCCGCACAGAAAGAGAGGTTGTTAGAAAAAATACAAGAAAACATTAATTAAATGAATCATACTGACCAATATTTCATCTATGAGTGCATCGTGAGTGGCAATCTCTTGTTCACACCTGGCTATCTCTTCTAGTCTCTTCATCTCTTCTATCTCCTCTGCTTCACAAATTCGGACTGAACCTTTAACTCTTAAGTACTCTTCTAGCTTGGCCAAGTGATTTAGCTCTCCTTCATAAGCTTGCATTTCCTAAGAAAGACAACAAGTTTTAACATAGCCACATTGAAAAAAAGTTTGTTTAAGTCCTTAAACAACGACAACCTCCAAAATTGAACTAGAAAAAAAACTGTTAGAAAAGCACTGTTTTTATTAAGGTTTATGATATTTCAGAACCTACACCTGAATCTTAACTTACGAGGTCTTAAAGTAACTGTTTAAACACAAGATACGCTTTTACAGACATGCGAAATATCTAAAGTTTGGAAGTATCGATACTTGCACAAATATCTATAAAAACACTTACAGAAATATCTTTATTCAGCTGGAAAAGCCCTCTCCACTTCAGTGTTTCGAGCTTCCTGCAACATTCGTCCCTTTCCCCGAATACGTTGGTAGCAATCTCAAGGATGTCCATGAGGTACTCCTTGCCCTTCAACAGCCTTCCTATGGTGCGGTTCCATAGGATATTGAAATCATTTCTGTAATACACACAGTAAATGGTCATTTAAAAACTAATACAACAATGAATTTTGGTATTAAACATTGTCTACTGTTTTAAGAAGTTGGCTTTAAACAATTTTTAATGACAATAGTATTCAAACGATTATCATAACTGGCTTGTTGGTATAGTGGTCAGAATCAACAAGAACTCAGTTCAAATCCCAGCCGAGATGGATAATTGTTTGCGTGTAGTTTTTCTTTTATAATGATGTCCTTAGAAATGTATAAGTATCAGGAGTCTCGTCACCTTTTATTCCATTCGCGTTAAGAAAGTAGTGACGTATCGACCAAGCCCGGCTCCCTGACCAATGCGGTTTAAAGAAATTATGCAAATAAACTTATAGTACAGGCTCTACTTATTGTAGCATCAAATGGGCACGAGTGAGATGTATCATCTTATTACACCAATATAAACAATAATATTCACCTCTCAACAAGCAGTCTGTGTATCTCTTCCCTAATATGCTTGTTGTCTGAATTGACCATACAGAACCTCTTCGTAGCGAGGTCGAGGCGATTCTCCATGCGGCGTAGGCGATTATTGGCATTTTCTAACATTGCTAATTCCTGTGAGTTTGAAATAAGTGTTAGTGTATTAGAGTCGAATAGTCTCTGCATCATGCATTCATTCATGTCATTGTGGGCATAAGACTCGTTAAAACCAGACGTGTGTTTGACAGGATTCCTTAGGGACTTTTATGAGGTACATTGGCAGTTTTATTTTTCAGTAGAAATAACATTAAGTGGTTTGGAGTGGCCAAATGCTTATAACTGATCAGTTCAGAGGCGGTTATGTATTTCCTTCCTGAAGCAAATTTTGCAGGAATAGCTCAGAAAACGTGAACTGCTGAAAGAGATCATGATTATTCTCTGGCTTATCATACTGATTATACGTCTTGGAATTAATATGACCTGCAGGTCCTAAAATATAAACCGAAGCTATATGTACATTAATTTCTTAAGGCAGTAATATCTACGAGTAATCTACACACTTTTCTTTAGCACCTGCTTACGATTGTAATAAGACTTTGGAAACAGGTCTTCTCTTGACTTGTGAGCCTTCGGCTAACCTAACTGACGCTGTGAAATAAACTAAAGAGTTGCTTAAAGCAGGATTTCAGTGACTCCATGATATCGTAATCAACCAGCGTCGATTGGTTCGAAAAGTACTATTTACTATAGAACCACTAACGTCTGCTTCTGTCGGGACTTGCTTCAGGAGTTCTGCTAAATTTTTTCCGGCGAGATAGTTCAAACATTCCAGTTCAGCCTGCTGGGCTTTCTCGTCTCTCAGCTCAGCGTTCAGGTTCTCAAATTCCACGATATCCTTATTTATCTTGTGCTGTATCCTACCGTCCCGGATACCATGTTGTCCTTTCGTAGCGAGCTGTAACATTTATTTGCACAGTTAAGGTAGCAATGACGACGATATTGTAACAGGTGAAAAACAAAACATAAGTAACTAGACAGACTTAGTTTGGTGGACTTATTGTATCTATTCATATTATGTTCTTTTAACATTTGATTTCGTTTTTATTTTTAAAGTAAAGCAGAAGAAGCAGATACACAATTATTAATTTTAGAATTACAGTCTATTCGCATTAAGGAGATAGAGATAGTGACATCGTTTAGACCCCGCACTGACCAATCAGGTTCCACGCTTTCATACGAAACGAAAAATTCTTGGAACCTGATTGGTTTAGATTGGGGCAGGATTTTATCGATATTCTCTTAACGTGTTTGGACTATAAACATCTATTGACAAGGTTTTTTTTGTTAATAAAAAGTCGTTGCGAAAATATTATCAGCTTTAAAAATAATTTTCTATACAAGAATCTATAGTATTTTATAACTATAAATTTTATCTAGATTATTATCCATTACTTGTGAAAGGAAGGCATACTTTATTCCATTAACCCTCAGTATACATAAACACAAGAAAAGAAGAAAATCATAATTTAAAAAAGAAATGAAATAACACTATTTAATTTTTTTTAAAAACGTGTAAATAACTAACACTAATACAGAGTAGCGTCTCTTTCATCTCATTCTTGAGGATGCCCATTTGTTTCTCCTGTGGCGCCAACTGCGGTATACCTCCAGCTCTCTTCGCCACGCTGCACATTGGCGCCAGATTTTCGAACTGAAAAATGTGATTAGCAAGTATTCAAGATCAATGGCAAATTTTTATAGCAAATAATTAATCAAAGTGCAATCAAAAGTCTCTTGAACGAATTCAAAACGCATTATTTTCTGGCCTTATATTGTCACGAAATTTAAACTTTGCAATGTAGAGAAGCTAGAAGTTGAAGTGATGTCGTAAACTTCCCAAACAAAATCAAAATTTAATTTACATATAGTTATTTGTTATCTTTACAGTCCTCTACACAAATATGATCGCACTGCAAAGTTTAAACAATACAACTGTGTGGAAATTCGCTATCATCATATTAACTGTCAAAATGAGCTGAAGTCATAAACAGGTACATACGACATAGTTGAGTACAATCGGGTCATATGTCATAGGTATACAGGATTATGTGCCCGCTGCCCACAATAATACGCAACTCTAGCAACTTTTAAAGATGAAGGTGTAACCGTGTGGGAAGTAAAACTTGAAGATCAAAAAATATATCTTACCATTCTTTGGGTACTGCTGAGTTCAGCCTCCGGATCAACAACTTTCTGTTCCACGGCGGTAGGCATTTTGTTAAGCTATTTATCAACGTAGAACACTTAGAAAATATACGTATTATAAAATAAATATTTAAGTAAATAATGTATCTCTCTCAAAGCTTGTTAATAAACTGACATCTAGATCGTAACAAAACAGGAACCATTTTGTCGTTTTTGTTTTGGAAATATGCTATTTTTTTCTTTCTTCTGTAATTTTACATGCCAAGATACTTACTGTGTAATAAATACTCTTCTGAACTTTCTCTAATCAGTCTGTGAGTACACTCTCATTATATAAACTTCATAATCGTGTTATAAACACGTAAGTTATTTATTTGTGACTGCCTCATTGGCGCAGTGTTAGCGTATGCGACTGCCGTGCTAAGGTCTTGGGTTCGATTTCCGTGTCGGATAAAATGTTTGTGAGATCTAAAAATATTTGTTTCGGCGTTTGGGTGTTTTCTATATAAAACATGTATATATTCACAATAAAATGTTATAAGTATTCTATCAGTCAATCTAGCTTTCATACAACAAGCTCTGTTTAGATTGAAACTAGATGGCGTTGTGTGTTAGATGTCGGTAATTATTTTTTTCACATCTAACACACGACTGTCTGATTCTAAACTAGGCAGAGCCTATACTATGGTAACCAGGCTGCTGATAAATATACTTATATATTTTTAAAAACATACATATTATAGATAAATTACACCCAGACACAGAACAAATGACCGTGCTAATCACACAATATTTTTGTCCTGGGTGGGAATCGAACCCACGACCTCCGGCTTAGCAGTCAGGGTCACTAACCAATAGACCAACAGGCCCCAATATTATTATTATTATCCCTTACTCCTAATGGATATCACAAGTTTCGGGTGGGAAATGGCACTGAGAGTCGCAACTCGAAGACGAGGTCTCGACTCTCGTACCCGTCTGTTCCAGGCCCATTGGCCAGACAGAGACATTAACATCCAGCTTTTCGTCAGTTATCCGAGTGTTGGGGGGTTTAAACCCTACATGGGACGACACTTTGTGTGATCCACAAATGGTTGTTTTGAGTCTGGGTGTTCTTTGTGTCCGTTTTATGTATGTTTGCAAAGTCCCCCGCGACACAGGATATATTCCTATTGCGGTGTGTATAGTCATTTATAAAAAAAAATTGTACCTAATGTATGCCTATATAGTAGAGCTGCGCCGTCTAAATAAAGACTTTCTGACATAAAACCATTCTCCTTCCCTCCAGCTTTCAAAGTCATTAATGTAATCAATACCTAATAACGTTTTTAGTCTTTATGTCTACTGAATATACAATTATTGTACTCAATCTATGTACTAATTATTAAAAGGACGCATAATCAAAGAAATATTTACAGTTTAAACTCATTCTTTATTTATTAATTTCCATAAACATTAACTAATTATTTATAATTAATTATCTAGTCACTATTAAGATCTTATAATTTACGATTGTTAAGTACTAATGAAATGTGTATATTAAGTACACTTGCACTAAATAAAATATTAAATTATTAGTGTAAAATATAAATTTACAGAATTGATTCATAAGCATTTATTATTCCATAATATTATCACGGATATTTAATTACGATAGAAAATTATTATTATATTTTGCAATTAAGTTTAGACAAAATTGTTTTATTTTTTATAATTTTGCTATTAATTTCTCTTGTTCAATCGGTCACTTTTAAATGTTAAAAATGGGATTATCGACGTGGAGAAAGAAAAAAACAAAAGGTAAAATATATTAATATGTCTTTTTTTATAAAAAACAGTGCAAAATTATAATAATAAGTCCCAAAAATCATAGCATACGGAATGACTAAGAAGATAAACTCGCCACAGCAGTGTTTGTGCTAAAAAAATTAAAAATATACAATTATATTGTTATAAACATTGAATATTGAAAATGAATTAAAAATCGGTTCAGTATAATTATAATTCAATAACATTTTAATTCAATAATTAGTTCAGTCTTAAAAATAAATTAAGTAAAATGTTTTTTTTAAATTTCATTTATTTTTAATAATAAAATTTTAAAATGACAGTTAAAAAACATATTGTAAATTTATTGGTGCACTGTATACACTTATTTATATATTATATTGCTGTAACTTTAAATTAGAGTTTTGCATTACCCCTTTGCATTGATTAGAAGACATCGAATATAGAGAAAAGGTTTTTTATTAATAAAACTTGGATTCTTGACAGGGTTCAATAAAAATCAAGGGACGTACAGAAGACTTACTTTTTAAAAATGTATAGATGAAAATCGACTATTTGATCTGTGCAGTAAAGTTTATATTTTCTCAAAATTAAATATCCAAAACAATATTGTGTACGGTATAAGGTATTAAGCTATTATGTGCCGGATCCCTTTAAGTTAGAGTTTCTTTTGCTCTGACGTAAGCTTGTACTCATGATTTAGGGTTATATTTACTGCAGTAGTGCAAACTGAGAATCAAGGAGCGATACAAGCCTGTTAGGGTGTGATTTCTACAACATGTCTTTTTATACTGAAAAAAACATTCGGCAGTTCATTATTGTCTCAAAACTTTTAATTTTCACTGCTAGTATAGATTAGAGATTTTTTTAATTCAAATACTATCCCTTGCGTTTTATTCTACCTTATGAATACTTGCCAATTTTTATTTAATTTCAATCTTATATTGAGACGATTCAATTATGAGTCGCTTAAAAAGATTTATAATAAATATTTCACATTGAAATGTAATGAACTATAATTACTCTCAATGGAAAAAAATATTCTTATTCCTTTTTTCCATATTCTAATAAATATAACTTTTAATTTTTTATAGTAGAAAACGTACATCAATCATGTACAATTGAAATGATATCAATAAAAATGATAAATAATTTGAAAAATATAGATAAAACAAAGTTTTTGGAATCGGATTTATTCCAAATTTTAAATTTCTGTAAAGATTTTATGACAGATTCAAGCCTGTCAAAAATATTCAAATTATTGACAAAATGATACGCAAATACAATCTAAAAAATGTATAATATAATTAAATTTCATTGACGGTAAATTATACAAATATTTTATGTCAGTGTTTTCTGTACTATTTTATAATGTTGAGCATGTTTATAAATACAATAAAATATATACAAAGCCGGTGCATATGTATTGTTCTAGAAGTTACTCTAGGTGTAGACAAACATTTAGTACATTCTTAAAGCAGAGAGCTTAAATAAAATCTTCTATAAGACAGGCACATTTTATTGTAAAACTGTTATAGTTAGAAGAGTAAAAAATATCATTTACTAGATAAAAATAGTCATGGTTTATGAACAGAGTAGTAATTTGTTAGAAAGAGATATATTAAACGTAATATGTCATTAGTAACTGACAGAATTGACGTAATGATAGAAATGTCAAAGAATGATGTAACTTAAACGGCTTCCACACGAAACAATTGGACAGTGTTGTGCAGAAATAATTCAATGCCCAAACTGGCCAAAAGCCATGCTTAACTTTTAAAAATTATCTGTATTTATGATCTTTCAAGAAAACACTTTTTTATTATATTAATAGAAACTTTTTTTATCTCAACTACATACTTTTTTCGTGATATGAACACATATCCTTTTGATTATTGAAGTGGCATTATTAATTTGACTAGTTTGTGAATAGTCTCGTATCTGGTTTATGATATGTAGTTATCCAACTGATGAACGCCCAAGATTGGCCAATTGCGTCTATTCGAACCGATTTCATATGATTTGACGTGATACAACCGAGTCAGGCGATTCTGACAACCGAATGACATTGAATTGGACAATTTAACTTTACGGGACACGATTCGATTGAAAAACTAGTCAAATTGTATTGTATGGTAACCGTTTGTTTAGTATTCGTTGTTAACTTAATTTTGATAGATATTGTTGTGTGAATTCTTTAATGACGTAATGTTTGAATACTTCAGAAACAAATGTCTCCTAATCATTGTTTTTTTAAATTATTTGATTGTCGATGACTTTTGATGTCTAGTAAAATGATTTTTAATACTACTACGTTACATGTTCGTGTGATAATCTCACTTTTATATTTTATTTTAAGGCCGTAATTTACATGTTAATAAAATTGACATTTTCATAATATATAAAAGGCACTTTAAAAGGCCAAGTACACTTAAGGCACAGTTTACTAAGTACGGTACTACGATATTATTGCAAAACAATTCAAAATACTTATAATATTAATTAGGTGATATTTTACTAATATTCGTGGATAAAAACTACACACAGTTTATATACTAAAATATCCACCAGATCATGTTTAATTCGTGTCGTTTTTGGTGAATATTGACATTGGCCGGAAAGTTGAAAGACAAAACAGAGCTGGTAATATTTGATTGGTCATTTTAGACTCTAGGTTCAATGTACATGTGTCATTTTATTTTGACATTTCAAAGGTTTATTTAAGTGCCTTTGAAACGGATATATCGTCTCTGTTTTATATGCCCACGGTGTTGCCATAAAGAGTTTAGTTTAACCCCAATAGCTCTTTTAGTAAGCGACTATGTTTGTTAATCAGCATGTAAATTGACGGTCAGTGATCACCACCTGTTTTGTTTCCATTTCGAACTTTCTAGAAGGCTTCTAATACACATCAAAAGTAGAATTCAGTGTTGCCATATAATTTACTAAAGAACCTTTAAATCTGTGCAATATCAGTGTCCACAGGGTAAAATCAACATCGCACATCGGTGTGTAAAGTGTAAATATTAATGTAAATAATATGGCTAATAAATGTTCCATTTATAATTATTATTTTGCCTGTTTTACCACATTTTATAATAAATTATATACTCCAGAAACTGAGTCATATTAAACACCCTTGCATATCTTTGTCCGTACCTTATGTACGTATACGCACCATGTCAGGATTCCCTAACCCAATAAATTGGTTAATATATTTTGTGATTTACATAAGGTTTAAAATCGATTAATATAACTCAGCTTCTTAATCCCATAATTTATTATCAATTTATTACTAAAACAGGCTTTTAATCTAATGTTACAATAAAGTGCACCAAACAAGTCACTTATAGTGATTCATGTATATAAGTACCAACTATACAAATACATAGTTTAGGTAATCTCAATAATTAAAACGTTATTTACAATAAAGCAATGGGTAGGTTAGGTTACAAAATGGCTGACGTATTACAAAATGGCGGATTACATATATGACAGTTAGTATTTATATTTCAAACATCGAATCATATTCTTAAACTTGTACAGTTAACTCGTAAAATAACGGACGAAAGATATTACTTTCTCTTGGATTTACGTCCGTTTAAATATAATCTGTTGTACTAAATCCGCTCTATTTAGTTATAAATGCCGTTTGCCAAACCAGCCATTTTAAAGTGAAAAACTTAAAAACCACAATAAAACATTAAAAATAAAATGTAAACTAACTATTAACAATCTAACTATGATGCTAACTATCACTGCGATAGTGTATAAATCACACGGTTTATAAAATAAAATTGTAACATAACCTAAAAATATAGTGATCGCGATTGCGTCTGCGCGGTAAACCAAAATAGTGGTCGCGACAATTAATTTTGAGAAGTTTTTGTACAAAAGTATTAAAAAAGGCTGCAGCCAGCTGGTAAAACTGATGAATAGTAGTTTTTAATGATAATTAAGTAGAGGATCGTTATTGTTTTGTGGTCTATGGCTTGATAGAGGGTTACCAAGAGTTGTGTACAGCAGATCACCGGTGAAAAAATCCAAGCAGACGCGAAGCCCTGGTCGGTGCAGGTTGTTCAGGGAGCTTGCGACGCTTCTCTTGGGACGTGAGTTTGTGCTTCATCTGCTCGTCGATGAGCTCCTGCATATCCATCTGTGACAAGAATAAATAATAGGTCAGGATTAATAGCTAGTGAATAGTCTGAAGTATTGTCCATAGCATATACGCCAATTGTCTACTTTATTCTTTATACAAACCAGTATGGATTTCATTAAAACGCATACATATCTACGTGGCTCCTTTTTTACCTCACAAGACCCCTCCCCTTTCCCCTTGCCCAATTGATATATACTTATGGTTTTAAAGATTTTTTTGAAAACAGAAAGTAAAAAAATCTTTATTAATACAGCGCCTGTGACCAGGCCATGTATTCTGAAGAGCCTCCTATATGGGTCACGTAGTATGGATACGTTGCCAATATCTATGATGGCAAATATCTCGCCAACCGGAAAATTCTGATCATTTTAACGGATTTCACCGCTAATTGTAAGGTTGGAAATTACAATGAAATTTATGGACTCCGAACATACCTGCCACTGTTCCAATTGCTGTCCAAGATCCACCTTTTGGCGGACAGCCTCGTATAGTTGACTGTTTGCCTGCATCAGCTCTACCCTAGTCTTTGCCAAAGCCACCTGGAATTAAGTAAAATATATTTAAAAAATCTTTAGATAAAACTTTAAATTTTTATTTAAGTGTTAGATACTATGAAATTTTATGACTAACTGTATTTTCTTAGATCTAAGAAGTTGGCGGTTTTTGCCGCAAGCAGGTTCTGTAACGGTTCTAATTGCAGTCATCTATTATAATATATAAGATGAATAAAATAATTTGCTTGCGATGTGAAAGCTGCCTTTGATGGCAACCAAAGGGTTATGTGTGACAATCGATTTAATATTAAAATAATTCACATCAATTCGATTGTCAGGGAGATCGCGTTCGGTTTTTAATTAGTCCGCATTAAAATCTTCACCAATCGCAACGATGTATATGTTCGCTTCTCGCACTTCTTGTAGTGTCATATGAATAATAACATCCTCACATATCTGACACACAACTTTGATCCCAAACTAGGCAGAGCTGGTACTATGGTAACCAGACATCTGATAAACATATTTATATATTTCTAAATACATACATATTATAGATAAATTACACCCAGACATATAATAAAAGATCGTGCTCATCACACAATTATTTATTCTGGGTGGGAACCTCGACAACGCCCTCTGGTTTGACAGTCTGGTTCATTGGCCACTAGACAGACAGGCCCTTCGAACTAAGTAATGGTTCGATACTTCGAACGTTTGAACTTAATTGCGTAGTACAAATCAGCTGTATTTTCTACATAAAATCTAACTGTCATTATTACATCACACTACACTAAGACACCAATTCTTCTATGCAATGATTTGACATAATATAAAAAATACCTCTGCAGCCTTCTTCCTCTCCATGGCTTCGTCTCTTTCTTGGCGGGCCTTGGCGACCGCCTCATCGTTTTGCAAACTGCCGTATTTAGCATCATTGAGGAGCCTGTCACGCTCTTCAGCGGCGGCGCGCAGTTCCACTTCAGCAACTGATAGCTGGAACATAAATACATATATTGTTAATTTTGTTCCTTTGTTCTCAGCATTGTAAAAGGTTGTCATAAATTAAGGGCAAGTTTTTCCGTGTGGTGGCGGATTAAGAATACGGAGTGTCATCACCCCTATTCATCCCATCAGAGCTAACTAAATGAACAAACTACGCAGGACAACAGCTCTGCAAAGTGAAGGAAAACTTGACATAAACCCTATGACAGACGGGTTGGTACCGTACGAAAGGTCCGCGTGACATATGTAGTAGGTTAAAACCTCCTTTTTAAGGAGAGATCTATGTCCAGCAGTGCACTATTAAAGGATGATTAGTTGCATGCCAATATTATAAATGAAAAAGTGCGTGTGTGTGTGTGTGTGTGTGTGTGTGTGTGTGTGTGTGTGTGTGTCTGTCTGTCAGTCTGTTATCTCTTCACGCTTAAACCGCTTAAATGAAATTTGTTATGGAGATAGTTTTTATCACAGAAATGATTATTCAAGGGGGTAAAAGGGGGTGGAAACTTGTATGAGTTAACAATAACCGATTTAGATAAAATTTTATAAGGAGATACTTCGATTCTTGAAAAAGGAAATAGGCTTTTTAACGCGTTTACTGACTAACATGCTGGCGGAAAATAAAGTAGCATTGTATACCATATTATAATGCTTAAATACTACAGTATTTACAGTTATAACAGTAACAGAATTAGTTTAAAATGCCTTTGCAAAACAATGGGATCGTCACAAAACTACACAATTAAATATGTTTTCTCCGTAATTCCCACGGTTTATTTCCGCAATAACCGATACTTCCGCGGATCAACCGATTTGAATAAAAACACCATTGTCTAAACTAAGTCAGTGCTCATAAAACAATTAATTGTCATATGTATAATAAAAATGCAATCAAATTTTTTAAACACGTAACTAGTACTATCATTAGAATTTTTTTATTGTGTAGTTATGTTGAATCGGCCTTCGTAAGTTTCGTAACTAAAGAACATTAACATACAATCTAGTCTGTCAACTAACAATTTAAACTTTTAGAAGAAATGCATCGTTGCTTGTGTTTATGAAATGATTTCATGACCATATTAGTTGTATTACCATTAATTAAATACTGGTTGGTAACAAGCTGTGACGTCACAGTTAACGTCAAAATCATTTTATTGACATGTTAGGTGTTGCCATAGAGCAGAGAATTATTTACACGCATTTTTAAGAAAATTTACTCTACGGAAATTGAAACTTAAACTTATAAATAGAAAAAGCGTAGAAAGCTATGATTTTTAAACAATTATATGTTACCAATTTAAAAATTATGTGTAAACGGATTTATCTAGCTACAGTCACTCGGTATAATGTTTAACAGGCTATCATAATGTGGAAGGTTTATACAGTGACAGTTCAAGATATATTAATCATTGCAATAATTCAAAACAACTTATTTATTTATGGTCGAAATTAAACCAGCAGGCGATCTACAAATTTAATCCATGCATGACAAACACTAGTTTAATAAAATACTCGTAATAATACCTTCGTATGCCTATGTAAAGAAAAATGGGCATACTTTTTTATAAATGGCATTGCATTATTTATTTTTTGGTTTCTTGTGGTCACTTTTTATAAGCAAATTGTTACAAACTCATGAATATACTCTCACACGTATTAATATATTTTTTAATTACGAAAACTTTAACACGTAATAAAGCCAACGAAAAAAATTACTGTAATTATTATATTATAAAAATAAGTACTGAACGACATTATATTTTAATTGTCTCCCGCCATTTTTAAAGTAGCCGCAATCATAAAATGAACCATAGAGTGTATTATTTGAAAATTATGTATTAAGGTTGTTTCACACATTAATGTCTATGATCTATGCTCAATGCGTGAGTAACACGCAATGTTCCACTTTCTTTTTTTGAAAAGATATTGTTACAGATAATATTTTTGATACACATATTTTATTGTTATTTTTTTTATTTATTAGTGACACAGGGGTTTTACTCACGTGTGTTTTTCGTGAATGTCTGTATAGTTTCAAACCCCACGGGGAACTATTGTCCAGGGGTGAAGCCGTTTGTCCTTAATAAATATAAATACCTCTCACGATTTTTTTAAATGCCTTATTATAGTACTACATTCAAGGTTTAAGTTTTTAATTTAAGTAACTTAGGTTTAAATTATGCTGCTTTTTTAATTTTAACTTCCATACGATCACTTATCTCATTTACATAATTTACAAATACATTAATAAGTGAAAATATTGCTTTGTACGCTTTTTTTTTAAATACAATAACGAATAATAAATAATTTAATTTTTTAAAGTTTATGTATAAAAGAAGTGCGACACTGAAGCAGCATAATATTGACCTTGTCGTCTTACGAGATTCTATACAATGATAGTTCTAGTTTTACTGGACATTGAAAGTAACTAAAAAAAACTAATGAATTATGGTCGACCTCTGTTGGAACCATTGTTGCACCAGAGGACAGAGGAGGACAATGTTCCACCAGAGGACAGAGGAGGACACTGCTGTGGACAGAGGAGGAAAGGAACTAAACTGCATTCAGTTTAGTTCCTTTCCTCCTCTGTCAACTTATACGAACTACAAGCTTTGGAGTTATTAAGTAGAATTACTGCTGTTTAAGCTCTTTGGGTATAATCATCATCATCAACAGCCTTTAATAGAGACGGGTAGGTGTAGGGTATGTGTCAAGTTTTCCTCCTCTTTGAAGTGCTGTTGTCCTGCGTAGTTTGCTTCCTTAGTCGCCTCTTACGACACCCACGGGATGAATAGGGGTGGTGACACTCTGTATTCTTCTGACCTAATTAAATGTCTACGTATCTAGTATTCATTATCAAATAACTATTCGTTCCTATACTTATGCAGTCAGCCTGAAATAGAAGTGTTTACGTATTCTTCTACTGCTGCTTTTGAAAAAGCTTACATCCATTTTGCATATATATTTCATACAAACAAAACATTCATGGCAAAAGTATTTGTTAATGATTGAATGCTGTATTTTGTCACCATAATTAATTACAATAATATAATTTTGTTCACGTAGTTCTTTTTTAAGCTGACTGTAGGTATTTACATGTCATTAAAAAGATGTCGTGCTGTAAAGGCATTCGAACTACATAAACTTGGTATTAACATACCATATGGAATTGTTACAAAAAAGTAAAAAAAACGATTTCCTACAAAGCGTTGCTGTAGTTAGGTCATCGACACTAGAGACGTGTAGCGACCTCTGGCGTCTACCAGGTCACGCTATGCGGCTAAGCTAGTTTAGATCAAGCTTAGATTGTCACATTTCTTAAATGTTGGTGTATTTTTAGCCTGCCGTGAGTAGTACAGGCTTCGACACGGATTGTTCAACTGGATTGATACCAGGTCATCATAGAAAGCTATTGTAGACTGCCTCGGTGCTGCAGTGGTAGCGTATGCGACTGCTGTGCTGAGGTCTCGGTTTCGTAGTTTGGGTGTTTTCTATGTCTATATTTATATGTATCTATATTTATATGTATATGTATGTATTTACAAAAAAAAACTGTATATAAGTATTTAACTGGCCTGTTGGTCTAGTGGTTAGTGACCCTGACTGCTACGCCTTCGATTCCCACCCAGAACAAATAATTGTGTGATGAGCACGGTCATTTGTTCTGTGTCTGGGTGCACTTTATCTATAATATGTATGTATTTAGAAATATATAAGTATGTTTATCAGCCGTCTGGTTACCATAGTACAGGCTCTGCCTAGTTTGGGATCAGACCGCCGTGTGTGAGATGTGTGTGAAATATTATTATTATTCTATTAATTCAATTTCAATCTAGCTTTCATAGTACTATCTGCTTAGTTTGAAACTAGATGGCGTTGTGTGTTAGATGTCCGAAATATTATTATATTATTAAGTAATTCTTTAGTTATCTTTTTCCAACAATACCCTAATTCCCTCTAAAGTTGTCAGTGTTTTTGTAAGTCAATAGCCCCCCGAACATCAGGTGATCTGTCTGCTCGTATTACCTTCCATACAATTAAATACCATTGAAGAATGATAGAAAAAACATGGCAGGTCTTTCTAGAAGTTAATAATAAAATAATATTCCACCACATTCACACAACGCCATCTAGTTCCAAACTAAGCAGAGCTTGTACTATGGATATTAGACAACTGATATACTAATACAAATATTCTTTATTTTGTAAATTCACACATATTATACATAGAAACACCCAGACCAAATCAAACGTTAAATGGTCTTCACTCAAATGTTTGACTTGAGCGGGAACCGAAGCCACGTCCTTTGGTAATCAATCACACAAACCACTACGCCATCCGTTCTCAATTAGTTATTTACAAGATACATCAGTTCACTTAATGTATTCAATGTTCTAAATGACATCACCAGTGTCCAAAGCCTGTCCTAAAACGAAAACCTGTTCTTTTATTGTTTTGCCAAAGCCACTGTTGCTTAAGGATATTTGGTGAGGCCGTTATGGTATTATGTGGGAGTCAGTGGGAGTATACTTATCACCAAACAGAGCAATCTAGATTAGAACTCCATCTTGGACTAGTTCTATGGATGTTTGTACTCATTACGCTAGAACGGCTGAAACGGATCTTCATAACATTTGGCCTTCGTATGTCCTTCCTTACAACAGTTATTGATTACCCATATAAACCTCCCCCCTTCCTTTTAATCCCCTTAAATGATGATTTCTAGGATAAAACCTACCCTATGTCCTTTCTCGGGACTCAAACTATCTCTATACCAAACTTCATCTAAATCTATTCAGCGGTTTAAGCGTGAAGACACACTTTCGCTTCTTATTTTTAGCATGAATTGAACATTGAGTATTGAGCTCTCAATAAGCACTGAGAATTCAGTATAGAGCTTAGATAGAGCCTTGAATATTCCGTTTTGTGTATTGAGAATCTAGACTACACTCTGTTCTTATTCTATAAGGATATACGATTAAAATTCAAGTAT